CAGTATATATGGATTTTCAAAAGGCTTTTGATAGTCCACATAATAGACTTGCTAGAAAAATTGAAGCCTATGGTATTAAAGTGACAATGGCAACATGGATTCAAAGCTGGCTAGGGAACAGAAAGCAGAGAGTAGTGGTGAAAAGTTGTTTCTCTGACTGGAGGGAAGTATACAGTGGTGTCCCCACTGTTCTTTTTAATCTATATAAATGAACTGGACTTTGGTATAAGAGCACAATTTCCAAGTTTGCAGATGATGCAAAGCCAGGTAAAGTAGTAAACGTTGAGGAGGATAGTGGCAGACTGCAAATGGTCATAAACAGACTAGCAAAAATGGGCAGACACGTGGCAGATGAAATTTAATGTGGAGAAATGCAAAGTGATGCATTTTGGGAGGGAGAATGAGGAGAGACAGTATAAGTTGATGGTACAATCTTAAAGGGGGTGAAGGAACAGAGAGACCTGGTGGTCCACATAAGCAAATCTTTGAAGGTGGTAGGATAGGTAGATAGAAGAGGAAGTAGTGCCAGAGGACTGGTGGATAGCTAATGTGATAACTATATTTAAAAAGGGAGAAAGAATAAGCCCAGGAAACTATAGACCTGTCAGCTTAACATCGGTGGTAGGAAAGATAATGGAATCCTTACTGAAAGAGGTAATAGAAAAATATCTAGAAATGGAAAACATAATAAAGAATAGTCAGCATGGATTTCAAAAAGGAAGGTCATGCTTGATGAACCACATTGAATTCTTTGAAAGGGTAACAGAAAGAGTAGACAAGGGTAATGTGGTAGATATAATATATTTAGATTTCCAAAAGGCATTCGATAAGGTACTACATAATAGAGTAATGAATAAGGTCATTCCATAAGGTCAGAGCAGAATGGATAGCAAAACAGAAACCAGAGCGTAGGGGTAAAGGGTAGCTACTCAGGCTGGCAGGGTGTGGGCAGTGGTGTTCCACAAGGATCAGTACTGGGACCACTGTTGTTCACAATATACATTAATGATTTGGATTCGGGAATCAGCAGTACAATTTCAAAATTTGCGGACGACACCAAATTGGGGGGAGTAGTTAATGCAGAGGAGGACTGCAACAAATTACAGCAAGACATTAATAAACTTGCTGAGTGGACATTTAAATGGCAAATGCATTTCAACAACAACAACAACAAAATTACATTTATAAAGCACCTTTCACATCGGGAGGATGTCACAAGGCGCTGGACAGTCAGGGGTCAGGACCGAGCATGGGGGAGGGGTGGGGTAGGGGTGAGGGAAGGCAGAGAAGTGCGAGAGTGACCGAAGGCTTGATCAAAGAGGAGGGTCTTGAGACCGGCCTTGAAGGAGGCAAGGGAGGAAGCGAGGTGAAGGGACTGTGGGATGGAGTTCCAGAGTGAGGGGGCAGAGAGGCTGAAAGCCCGGCGCTGATGGTAGGGTGGGTTGGGCGGGAGACACGGAATAGGCCGGAGCCCGCTGAATGGAGGGAGCGGGCAGATTGATAGGGAGTCAGCAGGTCAGAGAGGTAGGAGGGGGCAAGGCCATGGATGGCCTTGAAAGTGAGAACAAGAATCTTGAATTCGATCTTCTGAGGGATGGGGAATATAGAAAAGTGTGAGCTGGTACATTTTGGTAGGAGTAAGGAAGTTACATAAATCCTGCAAAATAAAAACCTAAATGGGGTAGAGTAGCAAAGGGACCTAGCAGTGCACATACACAATTCACTAAAAGTAGCAATGCAGGTTAATAAGACCATAAGAAAAGCAAACCAGGCATTGGGGTTCATTTCTAGAGGAACAGAAATGAGAAGCAGGGAACTTATGGTAAACCTCTATAGAACCTTGGTTGGACCACACTTAGAATACCGTGTGCAGTTCCCGTTCCCACATTATAGAAGGGATGTAGAGGCACTGGAGAGGGTGCAAAGGAGATTCACAAGGATAACAACATAACATGTAGGAGCAGGAGTAGGCCATTCGGCCCTTCGAGTCTGCTCCACCATTCAATCATGGCTGATCTTCTAATCTAACTCCAGCTAATAACCTAATCCTGCCTTATCCCCATATTCCTTAATCCCTTTTGCAATAAGAAATCTATCTATCTCAGTCTTGAATATGTTCAAGACTGAGCGTCAACAGCCCTTTGGGGTAGTGAGTTCCATACATTCACCACCCTTTGAGTGAAGAAGTTCTTCTTCCCCAGAACTGATAGGTTATACCTATCAGGAAAGGCTGAACATACTTGGACTCTTTTCTCTTAATAATAATCCTTGCATTTGATATAGCGCTTTTCGCGTCGGGAGGACGTCCCAAAGCGCTTCACAGAACACACTGTAAAGTGAATTGACTGTACATTTGTGGGCGAATGCGGCAGCCAATTGCGCATAGCAATGTCCCACAAACAGTTGTAGATTGAAAATGACCAATTTAATATTGTTTTTGGTTTTGGAGGGATTATTATTAGGCGTGTGGAGTAAGGAAACTTGCCCAAGGTTTCGCCCCCTGCCTGGAATTGAACTCAGGTCTCTCGCTTGCAAAGCGAGTGCTCTAACCACTGAGCTACAGGACTCCACTCTTGAAGAAGGTAAGGGGTGACCTGATAGAGGTCTTTAAAATGATGGAACATTTGATAGGGTCGACATAGGGAAGATGTTTCTACTTGTGGGGAGACCAAAACCAGGGGCCATCAATATAAAATAGTCACAAATAGATCAATAGGGAAGTTAGAAGAAATTTCTTCACACAGAGAGTAGTGGGAATGTGGAACATGTTACCACAAGGAGTTGTTGAGGCAAATAGGGTAGATGTATTTAAGGGAAAGCTTGATAGGTACATGAGGAGAAAGGAATAGAACGTTATGCTTAAAGGCTTAGTTGAGGAAGGGCAGGAGAAGGCTCATGTGGAGCAGAAACACCATAGACCAGTTGGGCTGAATGGCCTGTTTCTGTGCTGTATATTCTAATGTATTCTAATGTATAATGCTGTTAAAAAAGCATACAGGTTACTAGGTTTTATAAATGGGGCATAAAATTCAAAAGTAAGGATGAACCTTTATAAAATATTGGTTCGGCCTCAGCTAGAGCACTGTGTTCTGTTCTGGGCACCACACTTTAGGAAGGATGTCAAGCCATTGAGAGGGTGCAAATGAGATTTACCAGGATTGTACCAGGAATGAGAGACTTCAGTTATCAGTAGAGACTAGAGAAGCTAGGATTATTCTCTTTGGAGCAGAGAAGGTAAGGGGAGATTTCGCAGAGGTGTTCAAAATTATGAGGGGTTTCAATAGGGTGAACAGGAAGAAATTGTTTCCACTGACCAGAGGTCACCGATTTAAAATGTTGACAAAAGAACCTCAGGGGAGGTGAGGAGAAATGTTTTCACGCAGCGAGTTGATTAGATTTGGAATGCATTGCCTAAATGGGTGGTGGGAGCCGATTCGATAACAAATTTCAAGAGAAGTGGATAGATATTTGGGGAGGACAAATTTGAGGGCTATGGGGAAAGAGCAGGTGAGTGGGATTAATTTGGACAGCTCTTTCAAAGAGCTGGCACGAACACGATGGGCAAAATGACCTCTTTCTGTGCTGTATAATCTTATGATTCTGTGATGTTGGCTGCACCCACCCACTTCCAGTCTATCAAGCTGCTCGTTGGGGCATTCTCAGCTCTGATTGGCTGATTGACAAGGGGAACGACCCTTTAACTGCATACTCCTCCCCAATGCAATGCTGGGGATAGGATGCTGCATTGTCAGAGGTGCCATCCTTTGAATCAGACGTTAAACTGCCTGCCTCTTCAGGTGGATGTTAAAGATCCCACGGCACTATTCAAAAAGAGAAGAGTGTTTCTCTCTCCTAGTGTCCTGATCAGCGATCCCCAAATAAAATTGGTCACTCACTCCATGGCTGTTTGTGGGATACTGATATGAGCAATTGGCTGGCGTGCTTCAACCACAAAAATACACAAACCACTTTAGTATATTCTGTTAGGGCACTATATCAAATGCAAAGATTAGTTTCTCCCTATTCCCTGGCCAACGATTCACCAGATTCTGTTTGCCTACAAACACACAGTCACTGCACTTAACAGTAAAGTGCTTTGTGATATTTTGGTGTAAAAGGCTCTGCATCAAATGCAAGGATTATTATTATTATTATACGTAGGAATAGGAGCATTCCAACAGAATTTTGATAGCTGACAGACTCTATAATCTCCGATACAGTTGTCAAATGCAAGGAAATGCTGTATAGAAACTAGGCCTAATTCCTCCCAAATACCTTGCATTGGATTACATGGCTGATTAACCTTTCATCAGCCACTGGATAGTCAACTCCACCTCAGTGAGCATGCATAAGGGAATATGTCTGCTAGATCAACACAAAATTGAGTCCACATGCCTTCTGCGCGTGATATGCTGATTCACTTGAAATTTACACAATAACGTGAATTTTGATAAAGCTTCAGTTCTAAACAAAGCCAAGAAACTGTTTTGTTTTTGGTCAGGCAGCCAAGTATCTGATACACAGGAATCCATCACAATGCTATGAGTCTCCAGACAAAATCACTAATATTCCACATATCACAAAATCACTGGATGAAGAAGGGCCATCTGGCCCATCTGATCTCATCCCTCCAGAACAACCCACCGTTGGTGCCCACCTTTAAAATCATGAGGGGTTTAATAGAGCTAATAGAGAGAAAATTATTTTTACTGGTCAGGGAGTCAGTGACGAGAGGGCTATAATTTAAAGTAATTACCAAAGGAGCAAAGGTGGAGATCAGGAGGATATTTTTTACACAGAGAAGTGTTAGGATGTGGAACCCCCTGCTGGGAGTGGTGGTCAACACAGGTTCCAGATTAGCTTTCAAGAGAGAATTAGAAAGATCTCTAAAAAGAAATACCTGTAATTTTCAGGGATAGGGAAGAGTCAGGTAAATGGGACTGAAATGATGAGTAGCAGAGTATGAGATTTTTTTTATTAATAAGCATCGATCAGCGTGCAATTCTACTTTGTGAGGGTCTGGAGAAGCCAGACATTCCATACCTGGGTCCGTTCTTTATCACTTGCGTCATAGTGGACACGATATGACTGACAGACTTTTGGAGCCCAAGGTCAAAGGTCATGGCCTGCTTTGGCTTCTCTCCTCCCCAGAGCTGCTCAATACTGTCCAACCTTACTGGAACATCCTCGAGAAAACTGAACACAAGCTCAAGAAATGTCACTCACAAAAAAATTGAGCTTCACAATGATCCAGTCATTGCCACATCGACCAGCGCTAAACTAGTCAGTGATGCAAAACTGCCACTGAAAGCTCCTTTACATCCATTTGCGGGGGTGGGGGTGGAGTGGGATGCTGCGAGATGATTACATGGCATTGCTCAGAGTTAAAAGTCTAGAATTTGTTGCTTGCTTTAAGTGTAAGAGTTGTTACAAAGCCATAAAAGTTTACAGATGGATTTCAAGTGTCTATGTTTCAGTCATGAGGACTACGATGATATTAAGAGTGGAGTGAATAGAACTCTACAATGGAAGAAGGAAGTTCTCTCTCTCTCTCTTTCACACACACACTCATATTCTCACAGAAATTCCAGTAGTAAAATAGTCTATAAATACATCAGTGGCAATGACCACCTCAGATTCTCGTGTGAAACGCTGGTTGTGAGACAGATGTGTAGGGGGGAGGAGCAGGCCGTGGCTTTATATCTCCAGACTTCATGTAGGACAACAGCTGGTCCGGGATCTCCGCTAAAACGTCCTTTGCGAGTCGAGCCATACTCAAGACTTGGTTTCCGGTGCGGTCAACGTAATCTCGGAATGGCACAAACTGAAGGAGAAAATGAGACACAGCAAGATGAGCGATACTAATAACAACAAAATTACATTTGTATAGCAACTTTCAAGTCGGGAGGACATCCCAAGGTGCTGGACAAACTGAATCGAACTTGAGCTGGGAGTTGGGATTGGGGAGGGTGGAGGGCAGTGGGGGAAGAAGGGTGATCAAAGGCACAGTCGAAGAGGAGGATCTTGAGATGGGTTTTGAAGGAGGCAAGGCAGGTGGCGAAGTGGAGGGACTGTGGAATGGAGTTCCCAAGGGTAGGGGCAGAGCGGTAGAAGGCCTGCCCCCCAATGAAGTCGGGCAAGGATGGGGGTGATAGGGTCACGGAGCCTGGTGCAGAAGAGGGCACGGCTTGCAGAGTTCTGATGATCTGCAGCCTATGGAGGGAGGAGCAGGGAGTCCGACAAGCAGGGAATTTATATAGTCAAGCCTGGGTGTTATGAATGCGTGTATGAGGATTTCGGCAGCCTGCGGTGTGAGACAGTGGCAGAGTCGGCGATGTTGTGGAGGTGGGAGAAGGCAGAGGGTCGTGGCACGGATGTGGTGTAGAAAGGATAGTTGAGAGTCAAACAAGACGCCAAGTTCTGGAATGACTTAGTAAGGTGGAGTGTGCAACTATGGATAGTGATGCTCTCAGCGCCTGAGGTGAGGAGGCACTGATGGGAGCCAATCCGGAGGGCTTTGGTCTTGTTGACGTTCAACTGAAAAATGTTAGTTCTCATCCAGGACTTGATGTCTGACAGACATTCTGTCATGACAGCAGTGATCCTGGAGTCAAGGGTGGAGGCAGTGAGTAGAGTTGGGTGTCATGTAGAAGTTGACCCCATGTCTGTGGATGATGTCACCAAGAGGCAGCATATAGATATTGAAGAGGAGGGGACCAAGGACAGAGCCCTGAGGAATGCTGCACAAGATGGAGAATGACAAACCTAAGAATGTATCACACGGTGTTAAAGATCCTCTGAGGCTTGAAGAAGATTGCAGAAGATGTCTGCAACTGAGGCAGCTCCAGCTCAGAGTGGCTGAGCTGGAATCCGAGGTGCAGACACTGCAGAGTATCAGAGACAGTGAGTGCTTCCTGGATAGCTACATCCTGGAGCCAGTCACTCCCCTGAGGGAATATACACTCAACATTGATTATGATCAGGATAGGTCAATGGACAGTCAGGAGGTCAGGGGAACAACGGAAAGAGTGGTAGTGAATCCGGCATTAACCTTGAACAACAGATATGAGATCCTTGGAACTTGTATCGACAAGGAAGCCGGTGAGGTGGAAGGAAAAACTACCTCTAACACTGGGGCAAAAGAGCGGATGGTTGTCGTCATTGGGGACGAGACTATTAGGCAGACAGACACAATCATCTGCAACACCAACCAGAAGACCAGAAGGCTTTGCTACCTCCCTGGGGCCGGGGTGAAGGATGTCTCGGCAGGGTTAGAGGACAATTTAAAATATGAGGGCAAGGATCCGTTGGTGGTACTTCACATTGGTACCAATGACATCGGTAGATTTGGCCAAGGTGACTTGAGAAGGGATTTGAAGAGCTGGGATCCAAATTGAAGTTGAGATCATCAAAGGTGGTAATATCGGGACTACTGCCTGTACCATACGACAATTGGTACATGAACAAACAAATTAAGGACTTGAACGCATGGCTAAAAGAGTGGTGCGGAACTCAGGGGTTTCTTTTTATGGGCCATTGGCACGAATATTGGGGGGAAAAGAGAGCTCTTTCGGAGAAAAGGGCAGCATTTAAATCGTGCTGGGACAAATATCCTAGCTAAATGAATTAATAGGGAAATAAATAGGAATTTAAACTAGTAAAGTGGGGGGGGAATATATAGGTAAGAGAAACCATAAGTTAGCATTCGAAAAAGTAAAGATGACAGTGCAGAATAGCATGCCAGATAATAGGAATATGTTAACTAGGGGTAAGAAGCTTGGCAAAGTAAATAAGGAATCAGAGAGTAGAGGAAATGGTAGGAAATTAAAAATGTTATATCTGAATGCGCGAAGCATTCGGAATAAAGCTGATGAACTAAAAGCACAGATAGACACATATGGGTACGATCTAGTAGCCATCACTGAAACATGGTTACAAGGAGATCGAGGGTGGGAGTTAAATATTCCAGGGTTCTCAGTTTACAGGAAAGATAGGCACTGTGGAAAAAGAGGTGGGGGGTGGCCCTGTTAATTAGGGATAAAATAAAAGCAGTGGAGAGGAAGGATCTGAAATCCGATGACCAGGAGGTTGAGACAATATGGGTGGAAATACAAAATAATAAAGGGCAGAAAATATTAATGGGAGTGGTTTATAGACCCCCAAACAGCGATCACAATATAGCACAGGGTATCAATCAAGAAATCAGTGGAGCATGTAGGAAAGGTAAAGCGATAATAGTGGGTGATTTCAATCTCCACATAGATTGGGAAAACCAAATCGGCAAAAGTAGGTCAGAAGAAGAGTTCATTGAGTGTATGAGAGATAACTTTCTAGAGCAGCATGCCGAGGAACCAACTAGGGGACAGGCCATCCTAGACCTTGTTTTGTGTAACGAAACAGGGCTAGTTGGCAGTGTAGGTATTAAGAATCCTCTAGGGCAGAGTGATCACAATATGATTGAATTCTGCATTAAGTTAGAGAGGGATATAGTTAAATCCGAGGCAAGTATTCTGAATTTAAATAGGGCTAATTTTGTAGGTATGAGGAAAGATTTAGGTAAAATAGACTGGAGAATAAGATTAAGAGGTAAAAATGTAGACCAACAGTGGCAAATATTTAAGGATGTAGTGCAAAATTCTCAGCGGTCGCATATTCCCTTGCGGAATAAGAGTACCACAGGGAAAGCAATTCATCCGTGGCTAACTAGAGCAGTTAGGGAAAGCATCAAATTAAAAGAAAAGGCTTATAAAACTGCCAAGAAAAGCAGCAAATCTGAAGATTGGGAGAGTTTTAGAAACCAGCAAAATAAAACTAAAAAACTCATTAAGAGCGAGAAAAAGGAGTATGAGGGTAAGCTAGCTAGGAACATTAAGTCTGATTGTAAAAGTTTTTACAAATATATTAAGAGGAATAGGCTAGTGAGGGTAAATGTAGGTCCACTACAGTCAAGGGACGGGAGAAGTTGTAATGGGGGACAAGGACATGGCAGAGTTCCTAAATGGGTACTTTGCATCTGTCTTCACCCTAGAAGACACAACAAGTCTGACATCAATAGAGATGCACCAAGAGGATAAGGACAGGGAGCAACTTAGGGAAATTTTCATTAGTAGAGAATTGGTGCTCGGGAAACTGTTAGCACTAAAAAGTGACAAATCCCCTGGTCCGGATGGCTTGCATCCCAGGGTTTTAAAAGAGGTAGCTTATGAGATAGTGGAGGCCTTGTGTCTGATCTTCCAAAATTCCTTGGATTCTGGAACAGTTCCCATGGATTGGAAGATCGCAAATGTCACACCACTATTTAAAAAAGGTGGAAAGGAAAAGATGGGGAACTGTAGGCCAGTTAGTCTCACATTAGTGATAGGAAAACATTTAGAATTGTTGATTAAGGATGTGGTAGAGCGGTATTTAGAGGAGCACAATATAATTAGACCAAGTCAACATGGCTTTACAAAAGGGAAGTCATGTTTGACAAATCTCATAGAGTTTTTTGAGGGCATTTCCAGTAAACCAGATAAGGGTGAATCAGTGGATGTGGTCTATTTGGACTTCCAGAAGGCATTCGATAAGGTGCCGCATAAAAGGTTAGTCCAAAAGATAAGGGCCCATGGAATTGGGAGAAACATATTAACGTGGATTGCGGAATGGTTAACAGGTAGGAAACAAAGAGTGGGGATAAATGGGTCCTTTTCGGATTGGCGGGATGTGACTAGTGGAGTGCCACAAGGATCAGTCCTTGGGCCTCAGCTATTTACCATCTCCATCAACGATCTAGATGAGGACATCGAAGTTAATATATCTAAATTCGCGGATGACACAAAACTAGGAGGAAGTGCCAACACAGAGGACGACATTAAAAAAATGTAGCGAGACATAGATAGGTTAGGTGATTGGGCAGGTAGGTGGCAGATGAAGTATAATGTAGAGAAGTGCGAAGTCATCCACCTAGGTAGCAAAAACAGTAGAGCGGGTTATTTTTTAGAAGGGGAGTGATTAGAATGTGTTAGCGTCCAGAGGGACTTGGGTGTCCTTGTACACCAATCACAGAAAGTTAGTCTGCAGGTGCAGCAGCAATTAGGAAGGCGAACGGTATGTTAGCATTCATTATCAAAGGATTAGAGTATAAGAGTAGGGAAGTCTTGCTGCAACTGTAATGGGCCTGGTGAGACCACACCTGGAATACTGTGTGCAGTTTTGGTCTCCTTATTTAAGGAAGGATGTACTTGTCTTGGAGGGGGTGCAGCGTAGATTTATTAGGTTAGTACCAGGAATGAAGGGGATGAGTTACGAAGATAGGCTGACCAATTTGGGCCTATATTCTCTAGAATATAGAAGAATTAGAGGGGATCTTATAGAAACCTTTTAGACCTCTGAAGATTAACACTATTAACACTCACCTGTTCTCCCACCCTTGTGGAAAAGGTCACTGCCTTCATTTGCTGGGGGAGGGACTTGAGAAGAAATGCAATCCCCCGCAATGTGGTACATTATATAAACCATGCTGCAAATGACACACACTAATGCACCATTCAGTTCACAATAATTCACTCAACAAAGTAGTAACAGTGTGATATAGATAATAATATAGATCAGGGACCTTTCGGGTTGAATCCAGCCCAGCAATACAGCAAGTAAATCTTAACTAACTTCTGCATCTGAACGTATTTGGCGAATCTCAACTCATAGTTTTTTTTTGGTCAGATGGATATCTGACACAGAAACCCATCACCATGTATCCAAACTAGGTTGAGAGTTCCATGCATAACTTACCATTAAGAGAAGTCTTAGTACAAAACTGCCCATACTAGGTTATTACGAAGCTATAAGAGCTGGTGTAAGAAATGGAAGCGCTTCGGTTCTACATGTGAGTTCAGACATTGCTCCCCAACACCTCACCTGTGCCACACCTCAGTTAATATAAATGAATCCACCAACCCCTAAAGGTCAACATATTCTATCTTTATGTCAATGCTTATTAAGTGAAGGTGTTGAAGTTATTAAAGTCTAGCCATTGCTAAACATCTATTATATAAGTTTTAGTTTACAAGGGATCTGCAGGCCAAAGCAGGCAAAACCGCAGTACTGCAGTGCATGCTGATGACAACACACTGCTGATGTCTCATCGGCAGCACTTGGAGGGGCAAACCAGTCACTGGGAGAACTGGAAGATTATTTCCGCTCAGCTTTAGTTAACCCTGCAAGCCAAAGTCCTAAGTGCTAGATGGTCCTAGCTGGACATCAGTAAGAAAGCTTGTCAGACAGTTCTCTCAATGGCAAGCAACATGGTTTTAGTTGGTGAGTCCAGCACTACCCGAATGCACACTCTAGGGTCCCCAAGCCTTGGCTCTTGCTAACCTGTGCCTAATAGTCTCTGGAATTAGGTAAGCAGGTAGCATCCCTCCGGGAGAGTGTGCACATTTCTTTCCAGCCAAGGAAATGTCCATGTGTAGGTGGCATGCATGGAACTCTCAGTCTGGTTTAGATGCTATTAAGCATTATCATGGATTTCTACATTGTCAGATATCTGGATGACCAGAAATTGAGAAGTGAGTATAGCTTCTAAATTTCCAAGATCTGTGTTAATCTGATTTGTCTTTTTGTCCAATTTGCCAAGTTGGCAGTGCAATGAATGCTAATTTTGGTTTTCAATGGAGATGTACATATCAGGTCTGCTTCCGTCGTATGTGGGAAACACACCTGAGGCGCAGAAGTGAATGGCTGAGAACAGATTTTACCTGTACAATATCCCGTTCTGCAACCCGACCCTTGGAAGAGATCCGAACTTCATCCCCATCCAGTTCCTCCATAGCTGTAGGGAATGAGAAATGGCCAAAAGACTCAACAAAGGTTTTTCTCTCCCCAAACTGGGCCAAACCAGCACTACCGTGCACTCCACTGGGGGAATGTCCTGCACAAACACTCATGATTTCCAAATGAAATCCAAATAAAACTATAGCACACATCACTAGGATTCACACCTTCTTGCCTCCAAATTCCTCTCACTTCCTAACTCCCGCAGCAGGGAATCCATTGTATTCCTTGGAGTATTTTCATGGAGTTAATTTCAGTCCCTCCCTATCCCCGTAACCAACAGGACTGGGCGTTTCAGAAGATGCTAAATGTGTTGACATAGCATACTACAATGTGTGGAGAAATCAAAATTGATGTGCAATTGACCACCAGAAATAACTCAACTTCCAAAGTATATGGCACACCAACAGTGGCCAAAGTCAAAGCAAAGTAACATAGCTTTCACTGCTGAGACTAAGGTATTCTTCAATAAAACCTTATTGCATTAGCATTGTTCATTGAGATCCATATAAACAATTCAAAGTACATGTCTGACATTTTGGTTTTATTTGGAAAAGGAACTGCCAACAGTAGGATATAATAATCTCAAAAGCTTGGTTCATATTGGGTGCTAAAACATCAGAGACAAAGAACTGATATTTTGTACCAGTGAGAAATATTCGCCCACAAATTTCACCCACAAATATAGTCAATTCACTTTACAGTCTATACTGTGAAGCGCTTTGAGACATCTAGAAGATTATTATTATTATTCGTCAATACACTTCACAACTTTTTTTTGTTTGTGGGTAAACTCTCATACAAAGGACTAAACCTTTTTGCTTTCAGTAAATATCATTGGGATGTCTTTTGCTGAGGCAAAAGGCTTTCAGAAACCCTTTGCTAGATGCCTGTTACAATACAACATCAAGGGCTGTGGGGGATTGAATTTCAATGGCCTGGGGAAACAGATGGCAAAGCAGAGCTCATTCAGAATAACTGAGTGCTGACAGGGAGAAAACACTTGCATCTTAGTCCCTCAGGGAGAACGACAAACATATCCAGCTGGTGCAGGTGGAAGCCATCCCGGAAGCTTTCTTCAGGCACATCTCTGAATTCCTTCCCCTATCGCCCTGGCAATGATTCCATGTTCTATGAGTATTTACAGCCCAGTCTCACACTCAAGGCTGTAGGTAATGCAGCAGCAGGTCACATTTCAATAGTGATAGGACTGACAAGGGATAAAGTACTTTGTAACATGAGAGTACCTTTGTACTTCTGCAACCATCTTACCACCTTATCAACATGCACACCCCCGCCCACCCACCCACATACATCTCTACCACCCAAGTGGTTTAGATTCTGAACTAAAGGACATCTGTCAGTGAAGAGAAAGTTGCCAATTTTCTACGTTCATCTTCTGAAGGGATGGACTCGTGCTGGGTAGAGGATCACAGACAATGACTGTCACTTTTCCTCGCCATGTATCAGTCTAGACCAGGGTCTCCAATCGGTTGATCGCCGCTAGGCGGCGCTCTTGCCCATGATCGAAAGGACAAGAGGAAGGAGCAATAGCAATAGAACTGCATCGTTATTGAGTCCATTTAAAAACAAAACCAGATGCACAAAGTATTTTATGCATTTCGAAATAAAAACATAAACTTTAATGTTTAAACTGCGGTAAATATTGCTCCTTTCTCTTGTTTTTTGACTCCATCCCAGAGCCCCTCTGCCTCGCCCCCTCCCTCACTTTTTCTCAAGACCTTCCTCTTCGACTGTGCCTTCGGTCATCTTCCCACCCCCACCACTTTGTGCTGCACCCCTCATGACTCCAACCCCCAGCTCGGATGCAAACCCTTTACTGACCAGCACCTAAGAATGACCTCCCAATGTGAAAGCTACTATTTAAATGTGTTGTTTGCAGTTTGTTGTTGTTTTTATTGAGCATGTGTGAGATGCCACCTAGTGGCAATCAATCGTTTGGAGACTCTGAGCCTGGAAAGCAAGTGTTGTGAGGCTATTCATCCATGACAGATGTCAAATCACAGAATCATAGAAGTTTACATTGCAGAAGGAAGCCATTCAGCCCATTGAGTCTATGCTTGCTCTCAGAGCAAGGTGTTTATTCAATCCCACTGCCCCCACCCCACACCCAAATCCCTTCTTATATCCATTTACTTCGCTCTTGAAACCCAAAATGGACTCTGCCCTCTCCTACCTTACTTGGCAGGGCATTCCACATCCCCAAAACTCTTGAGCGAAAAAAATCTCAAAAACTCTCCTATCGCTCTTCTTGTGATTATCTTATAACTATGTTCCCGAGTCACTGACTCACCGACCAGTAGCTTTTCCCATTTCAGATTGTCAAACCATGATTCTGTCCTCAAATATAGTTCATACATAGATCACTGGGTCATGAAAACAATGTAGCCCTAAATGCTGCCTGGATCAGAGCAGCTAACTCAGCACAGACCGTCTGTTCTCTATGGTTTAATGGAGAAGATCTGATCAACTCTAGTTTGAGAAGGTTTCATCTGAATTTAATGGGAAGCCATACAGTGTAGTGTTTATGGATTTCCAAAAGGCTGTAACTGATGGCCACTGGGTAAGGTTAAGACATGAGCTTTACTGTAGTAATAACCATCTGATGGGAAGTAAGCTAAGGGTGGGCTCCAAGGGAACAAGGTCAAACTGGAGGTAGGTATTGGATGGGATACCTCAGGCATCCCTGCTAAGACCTCTCCTTTTCCAAGCCACATGAATTTTTCTTCAAAAGAAATGAAAATATGTGGCACATTTATCGAAAAGAACTTGCAAGAAGGTAAAAGAGATGTAGAGGTCACCATCCACCCTCCACCCCCCCACCACCCTCAAATCCTCCCTCCTTGGCTCTCAGTTGACATGCAAACTTTGGACTGTAAATATAAAATAAATTTGTTGTTGCTGTTGTTGTTCCTCATGTACTACAGGAGAAACTCTTTTCCAATAGTGTCACGGGACACTTCCACCCAAACTGACAAGTTGACAATCTTGGTTTAATGTCTCGTCTGGAAGATGGAGTAGAAAGGACAACAACAACAACTTGGATTTATACAGTGCCCTCCACGCTGGACGGCGTCTCAGAGCACGAACAAAGAGAGCCAGGCTTCCAGGAGTGTAAACTAATTGCAATCAGTGGCACGTGGCAATCAAACTCCACTTTAGCAGAGAGTCAAATGGAAAACAACAAGATTACATTTGTATAGCGCCTTTCACATCGGGAGGATGTCCCAAGTCGCTGGACAGAGTACAGCATTTCAGACCCGAGCTGGGGTCAGGGGGGGGGGGGGGGGGGGAAGGGAGGGGAAGGGGGGTGGCTGGTCGAAGAGGAGGATCTTGAGGCGGGACTTGAAGGAGGCTAAGGAGGGGGGAGCACGAAAGACGGATTGGAGGAGTTCAAAGAGGGAATGGCGAGAGAGAAAGGAGCGGAGCTGGGACGCAACGACTCGTTCCAAGACCTTGGAGAGGAATGGGAGGTTAGAGATGGGGCGGTAGCTGGAGACAAGGGATGGATTCAGGGAAGATTTTTTCAAGATGGGGGTGATTACGGCTGTTATTAGGGGGTGGAAACTGAACCGGTGGACAAGGAGAGGTTGATGACATCGGTACACGAGAGTGACCAGAAGGTGGAGCTGGGAGACGAGGTGGCTGAACATATCCCCTCAATTTTAGATTCAAGGAAGTCCAGCATCTCCTCACAGTTGGAGTTTGAGGAGAGGATGGGTGAGGTATGGGAAGGTGGACGAAGGAGATGGTTAGTGGTGGAAAAGAGAAGCCTGGGGTTGTCCTTTGCCTCCAAGATAACCTGGAATAGAACGAGGATTTTGCGGAGGCAAGAGCGCAGTGGTAGGTCTTGGTGTGGTGAAGCCAAATCTGCCGATGGACTGCTAGTTTGGATTTGGTCCAGGGGCATTCGGCAGCTCGCACTTGTGCCTTGAGGTGTATCAGGGGGATTTACGGGAGTATGAGGCAGTTCGGGAGGTGAGGGGGGCAAGGGAGTACAGAATGGAGAAGAGGGAGTTGTGGAGAAAGGAGGGTGAGGAGGGGAGATCGGTCAGTGAGGGCCAGAGGTGTAGGAGTTTAGATGACTCCAGGGCAGTGGAGAGGGAGGAAATTGTTTTCTATGGACAGTATGTAATGGTGGAGGTTGGGAAAGAGGAAGGGGTACTGAGGTGTTGAGGGAGATGAAGTGGTGGTCTGAGATGGCTTTATCGATGATGGTGATGTCCAAGACGGTGAGGCCCCAGGTGATTATCAGGTCAAGGAGGTGGCCACGGTTGTGGGTGGTGGAGTGGATGAGGAGGGAGAGGTTGAGGGAAGAGGAGGGAGGAGAAGTTGACAGAGGTAGAGCAGGAGGGGGTGAAGTGGAGGTTGAAGTCGCCTAAGATTAGGAGGCGTTCAGAGCAGAGGGAGAGGGAAGATAGGAGGGTGGAGATGTCCGAGAGAAAGGTGGGGGAAGGCTTGGGGGGGATGGTAAACAAGGAGGATTTTGAAGGAAAACCTGGAGGGGTGGTAGAGCGTAAGGTACTCAAAAGGTATTCAAAGGAAGGTTCCGGAGGAGTAGGGGGTACCGGGAGATGAGAGCCACACCACTGCAGTGGGGTTTGGTGGAAGGTGTAACCTGGAGGTGTGGCCTCAATTAGTGGGAAGGTGTCACCTGGGGTGACCCAAGTTTCGGTGAGGGCGAGGATGTCAATATTTTCCTCAACGGTGAGGTCATGGATTGTGAGGGACTTGTTGGTTAATGAGTGAATGTTCTGCAGACCGATGCGGAGGGGACAGTTAGTGATGGGAGTGTGGGGGGGATGAGGGGTGGGAGGGGGTGGGCAGATGGGTTGGATGGGGATGCAAGTGAGGGAGGAAAGGTTTGCTCCCGTGAATGAGGGCCGGTGGGCTTTGCAGCAAGAGCGGGGGAAGGGGCAATCAGGATGGGTGCTGTAGGACAGCCAAGGGCATCTACCACGGTGGACACAACGAAGAATGTGAAGGAAGGAGCAGAGGGAGGCCGTGGGGGAGTCGAAGAAGGGTAGGAGTTGGGGAAGGCGGAGGGAGAGGAGTGTTGAGTGGGAGTAGTGGAGGGAAGGGGCTGGGGTCAGGAACATCTTGGGGAAACAGCTCGGGTCAATTGTGTCAGCCAATGTGCGCACGCTGAGACTCGGAGTGGACAGGAATGTTCAGCGAGCCATGGTTATCCTGCTGGGCTGGGCTGGGCTGAGCTGAGCTGAGCAGGGCTGAGCGGGGCTGAGCTGAGCAGGGCTGAGCGGGGCTGAGCTGAGCTGGGCTGAGTTGAGCGGGGCTGAGCTGGGCTGAGCTGGGCTGAGCTGGGCGGGGCTGAGCTGAGCGGGGCCGAGCTGAGCTGGTGAAGGCTCAGTGAGGAGATGGGCAGTCATGTCTTCTCAGTGAGTCCTGGCCTCGAGATTCAAATGAGGTGGGCGGACGTCACAGGGCAGCCGGTTGTTAATTGGCTGAGCCCTCAGAAAGTCCCGGATGGCGGCGCGGGCGGTGAGTCCCTCTGAACCGCCCCGGGCCCCGCGCTGGGCCTTGTAACCACTCGGGACGTCGATCTCCTCACTGGGGAAATCCTCAGACCTCGAGTCAGCGTCGCCGCGGGTCCCGCTCACCGCTGAGCCGCTCCAGGCGCCAGCTCCGTCCGCGTCCCAGGTTCCATTGGACGTTGACCCGCGGGTCCCATCCGAGGCGCCCCGATCCCGGATAGGTCGCCTCCGTCTCCATTCCAGGCTCCCCGGCCGTGGGAGACCTCGGCCTCGAGCGTCAGGGCTCCCGACGCCCCAGCTCGAGTCTGGACGACCCACAGCAGGCCCCATGCGCCTCAAGGTCCAGGAGCGCCTCGTGAACCCAACCTCTAACCGTCGCCATCTTAAAAGTAGTGTATTAACTGACTGTTCTACAGACTGAATTATATGACTGAATCATGACTTTTCTAGACTGACTATTAATGGCTGAATGTTACAGATTGATTGTTGTAGACTGACTGCCACTGACTGACAAGTAAAGTACAGCAGGTGGCGTCTCCACACGCATGTCAATTGCGATGACAGCCCCCTGGCCTGGAGCCAGAAACTGGTGAAAGTGTTGGGAAAGCATCATTTCTTTGAGTGAAGGATGGCAACTGAAGACATGGGTAGCGGTGAGAAGCCCCTCACAGAGAGGCTGCCCACAGGCAACGTGTGAACGTCAATCACACACCTCCCTCCCTAACGCCGGCTGCACATGAAGCAGTGATGTCAGGATATTCACATCCTTTCCCAATTTAAAGGTGAATGGACATAATAAAATAATAATAATTCTTGCATTTGATCTATGGCCTTATCATGTCGTTGAGACATCCCACACAATGTAAAGTGGATTGACTGTATTGTGTGGGCGAAATATGGCAGCAAATTACACACAGCAGTATCCCACAAACAGCTATGGAACGAGCGACCGATTTTATTTGGGGGATTGTTGGCCAAGACACTGGGGGAAACTCTCTTCTCGTTTCCAAGATCTTTAGCAGATGGGACCCAGCACTGCATTAGAGTGTCAGCTTAGACTATGTGATTCCAAGTCCCGGAGTGGGGCTTGAACCCACAACCTTCTAACATGGAGACAAGAGTGATATCTCTGCACCAGGCTGACACATTAGAATACATTAGAATATACAGCACAGAAACAGGCCATTTGGTGTTTATGCTCCACATGAGCCTCCTCCTGCCCTTCCTCAACTAAGCCTTCAAGCATAACCTATTCCTTTCTCTTCATGTACTTATCTTGCGTTCCCTTAAATACATCTATGCTATTTGCCTCAACAACTCCTTGTGGTAGCATGTTCCACATTCCCACTTCTCTCTGTGTGAAGAAATTTCTTCTAATGATACAAATGATATTTAAGCTCATCTCCAGGCAAAGATAAAGGGCAGGTTATAAAGAGAATAAAGAGACCACGAGGGAAGGAAAGAGAGGGAGGAATAGAGGAGAGAGGGAGCATCTGAAGGACATTCCAAAACATTGGACAATCAATTAAAGCAGTCTTGTTGAGTGAGTGGAATAGCCAGGTTGGTAGGGTTTAAGGAGATTTGAGAAGGTCACAAAGGTGAGGGGACAGACCATAGAGGCATTTAAAGGTAAAGCAAGTGGTCCCTCAGGAACAGGAATGTACATGCATGGAAAAGACAACTCGCCAGTTCCATTTTCAAATCACATCTCTCCCTTTCTTCCATATGCCCAATCTAATGTCAAACATGTACCCGATTCCTTGATAATACTACCCATCCACCCGCACCCCCTCCCTGTGTAAACCATTCCGCGTGTTAGCAATGCTCTGCATAAAGTCTTAATCCAAACTGCCTTTCCACGTTCCGCCTTACCCAATACAATACATTTACACATTGCATTTCACGTAAGGGGAATGTCTCAAGAGAATGTCTGGGCAGCTGAGCTGTGGATGGGAGTCGAAGAGGGGTGAGGAGGGAACGGATGACAAAGTGGTCAAAGAGGTAGGTCTTGAGGAAGGCTTTGAAAGTGCGATGGGTGAGATGGAGGGACTCTAGGATGGAGCAGCGGGAGTAGTGGCAGACTATCTTCCAACCCTTGAATGTGGAGCAGAGGGCGGGGGACATGAAGCCGGCAAGTGTTCGCTGAGCAAATGAAGCATTCTGGTTGAAACTGTTCGGTAAGCGTTCTGGTTGACACGGTTAGAGACTGATTTCGAGACCATATTGAGCAGGTGTTGGAATCCAGCTAGTCAACAACAACAACAACAAGATTCCATTTATAAAGCGCTTTTCACGTCAGGAGGACGTCCCAAGGCGCTGTGCAGTTGGGTCAGGACCTGAGCAAGGGGGAAATGGTCAGGGTGAGGGGAGGGAAGGGAGGGAGCGAGGAGTGGGTAGAGAGTCGAGAGGGGAGCTGAAGGCATGGTCAAAGAGAAAGTTCTTGAGAGTGGCCTTGAAGGAGGAAAGGGAGGAAGCAAGGCGAAGGCACTAGGGGATAGAGTTCCAGAGCCTAGGGGCTGAGAGACTGAAGGCCCGGCTACCGATGGTAGGGCGGTTGGGGCGGGGGATGTGGAGGAGACCGGAGCCAGAGGAACGGAGGGGGATAGTAGGTCGGAGAGAGCAAGGCCGTGAATGGCCTTGTGGGTGAGGATGAGGATCTTGAAATCGATCCTCTGGGGGATGGGGAGCCAGTGGAGGCGAGCGAGGGTGGGAGTGATGTGGTCCCGAAGCCTGGTGCGGGACAGTACACGAGCTGCAGAGTTCTGAATGACCTGCAGCTTGTGGAGGGAGGTGCCAGGAAGGCCGGCGAGGAGAGAAGAGTCTGTACCCTTTATGATGCGGAATATTTTAACAAGATTCCCCATCAATTGCCAGTGTAAGCATCACTGGCCTCTGCAATCTGGAACTGTCTAAAACCAGAAATACACAAAAAACTCACCATCAAATTCAGCAGGTCCCACTCCAACGATAATTATTGACATTGGAAGGTTTGAGGCCTGAGCAGAAAGGATAGAAGGCATGTTAAAAGTAGTGCAATAACTCGCACCGTACACAGTACACTGTGTCTCTAATAGCTTATTCCTCCTCTGAGGCCTTCAAACTATTGAGCAGATTATCATTTAGCATTGCAAGGCTGGAGTTGTGTTCTGTGGAGCTGAGGCATGGTTTGATTGAGGTGTTCAGCAAGAGGATCCATATATAGAACAGTAAAATAAGATAACATAAGCCTGAAAAACCTGGGTGTCAGATGTGAAATATTATACAGCTTTGTTGGGTTATGCATAAGAGCATTCAGTATTGTTAGCATAAGGTGTGCAAAATTAACATACTAACAAGGGGTTAAAACGGGTGAGAGGTCACGGTAACGTAGTCAGGTAACTGGAATCAATACGAAGAAAAAGGGGGTGAAGGAAACATGATTGGATATGTTGATGTGGGATTGTAACCTATTCACCAACCATTGAATGGTGTAAGATAGGGTATGTAAAATAACAGATTGTAAATGACTGACAAGAGATTGGTGGAAAGTATTGAGGGAGTGAAATGAGGGTATAAAGACAGGGAGAACAAAGAACGAGGGGCAAGAAAAAGATCGGAGCAGCACGAGTGAAGACTTGATGGAAGATCAAAAGCTTGAATAACCAGACAAGACAGATTTGAACCTCGGCTGCTGAACATCTCGTCCCGCAGTAGCATTGCTTTGTTATAATCCCTCCATGGTGTAACTTTATAGAACTAATAAAGTTTAACTTAACAGATTTTGCCTAAACAGAATGCTGGGTGACATTTCCTGATATCTAACAGCTTGGTACTTTATATGAACTTGGTCCTGCCAAGTGGGCATTACTTACATTGACGATGGCTTCTTTGGTCTGCACCATGTCTGAGATCACTCCATCAGTGATTATTAACAGCACAAAATACTCGGAGCCATCGGTCACTGACGCTGCAGACCTGCAGTATAAACAGCACGCAATAAACCCACATGTACATTAACCTTGCCTTTTAGCAGAGACTCTATTTATGGGTATCTCAGTCTCTGTTTGGGAGATTCCCAGCCCTGGGATAGTGTCAGTGTCAGGACTCAGCACACAGCAAGGTCCCATAAACAGCCATGAAGTGAATGATCATTTTAGCTGCAGGCTATTGATGACTAGGACACCAAGAAAATCTTTTTTCACATAGTGCCACAGGGTCTTTACAACCACAGGAGCAGACAGACGACACCTCAGTTTAATGTCTCATCTGAAGGATGGTAACTCGGATAATGGAACGCTCCCCCCAGTACTGCATTGGAGTATCAGCCTGGACTGTGAGCTCAAAGTGCATCAAACTAGGCGGGATTGAGTCAACAAGTGACCAAGGATGCCAATAAAGACAGCACATTAGATACTAGTGATACAGAAAAAAAATACATGGATATCTCTGTCTTCTCCTATTAGAGGTGCCTGGGGTACTATGGTGCTGGGCCTGGCATGGCCACTGCAGAGATGCCAAATCCATTAATGCCAAGATGTTTGACATGGGAGCACACGGGTTTGATTTCTTCTCTGCATTTGGCTACCTCCCCGTGAATCAGTGATGAGAGGCCTCTGGGAATCAACCTTACTAACAAAGTAGCCAGTTAAATGATTGCAGCTTAATATTTTCTATTTGGAGAATCTTTTTGAGTTCTCTGTCTGACCTATGGTATTAGAGAGGTTGCAGATCTCATGACAATAATGCACATACACTTCATGATCGGTGTATTGATGGGTTTCAATCTTACCTGGCAACCTTATTGATGACTGGGGCGAAGTTAGTGGGCCCGTAAAGTTGCACTGTGCGTAGACTCTGGTAGTACGCCTCTAGAACTCCATCAATTCCATTGCAGTTTGGGTTGTCTGGATCCCCATTCTGTAGGAAGGTAACATTATATAATATTATAATAATCCTTACATTTGATATCGCACCTTATCACATCATTGAGATGTTTCAAAGTATTTCACAGAATTGACTGTGTAGGCTGTGGGCGAAATTCGGCAAGGAATTGCACACAGCAGTGTCTCACAAACAGCTGTGGGTTAAGTAACCAATTTTTAAAAAAGGGATAATTACCCTGGAAAGCAATCTACCAATTGACTAACAAATGGGTTCCTACTTATTGCTTGGTAAACAGGCGTGTGGAATAAGGAAACTTGCCTAAGATTTTGCCCCGCTTGGGAATTGTACTCGGGTCCTCTTGCTTGCAAGGCAAGCGCGCTAATCACTAGGCTACAGAACTCTACTCCACATTAACTCCACTTTAACTCAATTTGAACACCAACTCGCATTTAGAGAGTGCCCTTCACATAGAGTAACATCTCAGCTTTACAAGGACGGGGTTGGAGGGGGAAGGGGAGGTGGGAAACATCTCGGAGGACCAAACACTGACTCAAACCAATAGGCTGGATGGCCTATGACATTTCTATGGTTCCATGTGATTTATAAGTACGTTTAGTTCTAGAACCATGAAACTACTGTTTGTCTGGTCATCTGCACAACCACCGCAGTTTTAATTCCAGAACCATGTCATTGTAAATTAGTTCAATTACCAGTTGGTTGTATCTAGAATGACGCAACTATATCATAGAACAGCATGACTACCATGGAGTTAAATGCTAGATCCAGGTGTTTACCACAAATGCTACATTCTGAACATCTAAATCCCTCCACATATGTGCCTCACCCTCCCTCTGTGATCTTCTAAAACCCTACCAACCCACCTGCTCCCTCCGCTCAGCAGATACTGGCCTGCTTCACATTCCGCGCAGTGTCTGCTCCACTATCAGTGGTCAGGACTTCAGCCTTTCTGCTCCCATTCTCTGGAACTCCGTCCCAGAGCCACTTCACCTCATTCCTTCCCTCAACCCTATATGTTCTGTCTCAAGAGCTTCCTCTTGGACGTCTTAGTCATCTTCCAACTGTCATCCCTCTTGACCTCGACCCAACCAGAATTCAATGCACAGTTTGGGTGTAAACTCTTGATTGTCCAGTTCCTTGGTATAACCTCTTGACATGACAGGCATTATATAAATGCAATTTGTTTAAATTAATGTTGTTGTTGGGAACTCAAATTATCTTGTAGCTAGGTTCCAGAAACATGTTATTTTTATCCTGTGGGATTCTAGAAAAACATGTTGAATTATGGACGGTGTTGCTGGATTCTAGGATTAAATGATTACAACATTGGCTTCTAGAACCATGCAATTATTATGTGGTTGGATTCTAGAATTACTCCCTGTCTCTGATGACTGTGAAGGTTGCAGTGTTAATCTACTTTCCAGTAGAAATAAGGCAATTTCTAATACACTTAGATAAGAAGCAGAAACATGTAGAACTGTATCCATCATGAACCAGTGTCTTCACAGGAGAAAATAAATGATAGCTGGTTTAATGGTGGCACATCAATCTACAATGCCTTCCCATAATGTAAGTGTCCATTCTCCTTCCTTTGAGATGAGGAGATGAAGCACAACCAGAGCCTGGGCCAAAATGGGTCTGAGGTACATTCTTCCTGTAGTTTTAAAGCAAAGATCATGGAGAGGTGTAGATGAAGAAGCTTCTTTGGCCCATTTGATACAGTTTTATCCTTCCAGAATACCCTACCACTCAACCCAATAGGTGCTCCAAGTAGCCACCAAGGAGCCAGTGTAGTATCCACCACACTTCTTGCCCTTCTCCCAACTATTGTTGGCACCGGTCCAGTGGGCTGCTCATCAGGGCGCCCTCACCTCTAATTGGTCAATGAACCTGTCAGTCAACAGCTCGCCAGTCTTGAAGGGGACTGATTCTCTAAATTAATTTTACTCCCCCCAAAGAATATTTTCACCCGCTGCCTTTTCCAATCCTACTATCTTCCCATTGCTGCATTGAGCAGTTGTTTAAACAAATGCTTTCTGGTAATCCACTCCAGCTATTCATTGCACCCTGTGTAAATAAATATTTTCTTGTCTTTGTCCTTAACGTCTCCTACACAACCCTGACCTGGGTATATCAGCTGCCTGGCATCTCCACATTGGCTCGCAGAGTGGAACAAAAGTAAATGGTACAATTTGTATAAAAATATGAAATGTGGCTTTGTGAAGATTACTACACCAAGGAGGGAATTACTGTAACGGAGGTGGTGGGGCACGGAGGTGGGGGAGAGGGCTGAAAATTATCTGGGATTTCTCATCATTTCAAATTATTATTCATTTATTCCGAACGGTATCACCCTGTGCAAATCTAAACCATAATATTTTACTGTGACTCTGTATATTACAGTTTTGATGGAAAAGGAGCGATTAGTTTATCAAGTGAGAAATAAAATTAAATCTGCCAACGTTTGCATAAGCATAAATTAATTTACTGCCAGTTCTGTTCTATTCAGCCTCTGCCTTGCTTTCCTAGGGGGTAAAATATGGAGAGTTAATAAACCTGTGTTATTGCTTTTTTGTGTTTCAGGAGCAACATTAACAGTAATTATTTTTAATTAAAGTATCCCACTGTTTGTGTTGTGACATTTTGGAAGACAAAGCAACCTATAATGAGGATTAGCATTGCATTAACTGGTTCAGTCCTTCCTACTCTGTGTGGTGGGTTCCATGAGATTAATCCTATTTGGGGTTTAACAGTGACAAACTGAAGCGGGGAAATGCGCTTCCTGCCATCGTAAGCAGATTTCTGATAATAACATTCATCCTCACATTTCATGCAGCGCGTTTCAAGTTGAGATGTCTTAAAGTGTAGTGACTGAGTGTTTTGTAGGCAAACCTAGCATCCAATTTACAAATAGCAAGGACCCACAATCAGGCATGGAGTGAGTGACCGATTTTATTTGGGGGAATGTTGGCTAGGACATCGGGAGAAATTCCCTGCTCCTTTACAATAATAGTGCCATGGGATCTTTAACGTCCACCTGAATAAGCAGACAGGACGTCAATTTAATGTCTCATCTGAAGGATGGGACCTCTGACAATGCATCACATCCCAACAACTGGATTGGAACATCAGCTTAGACTATATGAGTTCCAAGTCCTGATGTGGGGTATGAACTCACAACCTTCTGCCTCAGAGGTGAGAGTGCTACCAACTGATCTCTGCGCACTTGATCCTGCAATAGAAGCAGTACTGATTATTTACATATGGAATGTGTTCAGGGCTTTCTCAGCTGGGGTTGGGCTCCCATTATTCAGTAATCTGGGTTGGAAATGATTTTTAAAGACATTTTAATGATGTTTCTTAAATGAGAAACAAAATAATTGAAATTTAGACTTGATTAAGTTTTGAAGTACGTGCAAGATTTGTGAGCTTCAACAACAGCAACTTGCTGCCACTCTGCCACTCATGTCCGCGGTCACCCCTCAAACTGGTGATCATTCTGGGCCTCACCGTATAGGACCTCACCATTATCGAACTCGGACCATCACTTCATCTTCTTTAATTCCTGAATCCCTCTCCACACCACCATCAAACCCACCTCCATCTCCTACTGCCCCAGAAAAAAATGTCCCCCCACTCCCTTTCCATTGCTTTGGAATCATCTGAACTCCTCATCCTCTGGGCTTCTTCCACAATGACCTGTCCTCCTCAGTCATTCTTCTCCACAGCTCCCTCTCCACCACTCTCGATTCTCTTGCTCCCCTCACTTCCTGAACCGTCTCCTACTCAGGAAAGTCACCATGGTACACCAGCCACCTCCGCTCCCTTAAAGCACATGTGCATGCCGCTGAACACACCTGGCTTAAATTGAACTTAACGGTCCGCAGCAGATCTGGCTGGACCTTATCAAATCTTACCACTCTGCCCTTGCCTCTGCTAAATCGTCCTTCTACTCCAAGACAATCTTGGAGGCCAAGGACAATCCCAGGCTCCTCTTCTCCATCACCAACCAGCTCCTCCATTCACCCTCTCACGCCTAGCCCATCCTCCTCCAACGCCAACTGCGAGGTGATGCTGGATTTCCTCGAATCCAAAGTTGAGGGGATCCATTCAGCTGCATCTGCCATTCCATTTATTACCACCTCCCCATCTCCCCCTCTTAACCCAGCCCTTACCCATCCCTCCCTCCACACCTTCGAACCTGTCTCCCACTCCTTTCTCACCATCACTGTAACCCACATGAAACTGATCACGTGCTCCCTCCTCCCTCTATCCCTCTCCTTACCACCCAGCTCCACATCCTTGCCCCTCTACTCACAGATATCATAAATCTCTCCCTGTCCACTGCTACTGTTCCCACCCCTTTAAAAATGGCCATCACCACTCCTATCCTTAAAAAACCCTCCCTGGATCCATTCCTGCTCTCAAACTACCACCCCATCTCCAACCTTGCTTTCCTTTCCAAGGTCCTAGAATGAGTTGTTGCTCCCCAGCTTTGTTCCTTCCTCTTCCTCCATTCCCTTCACGAACCACTCCAATTAGATTTCCGTGCCACCCACAGCACAGAAACAGCCCTGGTCAAAGTGACAAATGACATTCTGTCCATCTGTGACCAGGGCTTCCTCTGCTTCCTCATCCTCCTTGACCTCTCTACTGCCTTCGACACCGTTGACCACTCTAGCCTCATCTACCACTGCCTCTTCTCTCACCTCAACCTTCACGGCTCTGTCCTTGAATGATTCAGATTGTGCCTCTCACACTGCCTCCACTTCATCCCCACAAACGGTTTCTCCTCTTGTCCCTTCACCGTCTTGTGTGGGGTTCCTCGGGGCTCTGGACTTGATCCCCTCCTCTTCAATATCAATATGCTCCCTCATCCACAGACATGGGGTCAACTTTCACATGTATGTGGATGACACCCAACTCTACCTCTCTGCCTCCACCCTTGACTCCAAGACCACTGTTGTTCTGACAGAATGTCTACCAGACATCAAGTCTTGGATGGGAGCTAACTTTCTTCAGTCGAATGTCAACAAGACTGAGGCCTTGATTGGCTCCCTTCAGTGCCTGCACACCTCAGACGCTGACAGCATCACAATCCATGGATGCACACTTCACCTTACTAAGCCAGTCCGGAACCTTTGCATCTTATTCGACCCTCAACTATTCTTTCTACTCCACATCCATGCCATGATCCGCTCTACCTTCCCCCAACTCTACAACATCCTCTACTATCTCACACAGCAGCCTGCTGAAACCCTTATACACGCATTCATAACATCGAGGCTTGACTATGTCAACTCCTTGCTTGTTGGCCTCCCCAACTCCTCCCTCCATAGGCTGCAGATCATCCAGAACTCTGCAGCCCGTGTCCTCTCCCACACCAAGCTCCATGGCCCTACCACCCAACCCTCGCCCGATTCCACTGGCTTCCCATCATACAGAGGATGCAGTTCAAGATCCTGGTCCTTACCTTCAAAGCCTTCCATGGCCTCACCCCCCCCTACCTCTGTGATCTCCTAAACTCCTAGCATCCTGCCTGCTCCCTCTGCTAAGCAGGCTCCGGCCTGCTTCAAGTTCTCCGCTTTGCCTACCCTATCATTGGCAGGTGGGCCTTCTGCCACTCTGGCCCCACCCTCTGGAACTCCATTCCAAGGTCCCTCCACCTCGCCTCATCCCTTGTCTCCTTCAAGACCCATCTTGACTGTGCTTTCGATCATCCTGCCCTCCACCCTCCCCAATCCCGACCTCCAGTTTGGGTCCAAAACACTGACTTTCCAGCACCTTGGGATGTCCTCCTGACTATACAAATGTAATTTTGTTGTTGTTGTTGCTAAAGAGGGTAGCGTCCCAGAGCGCTTCACAGTAGCAGAGCAAGAAGCTGAGCTGGAGGGAGGGTATCTGTCACCATAAGCATGGTCAACCTAGGCTTCACCTACCAATGTGAACTCGTGGGAGATTTTCCCATCTGGAGGAATTTTCGCCCCGAATCCTAGAGCTGGAAAGAGCTTGTCACTGTCATAATCCTGGATGATCTCTCCGACCGCTTTCAGAGCCATAGCATAGGCATTCATCTGGTAGGGGTTCAGATAATGGAGGGAGGTGGGCTGCGAAGGGTTACCTGCACACACAACGCATTAGGAAATAAATAATAATCTTTCCATTTGATATAGCACTTTTCATGTTGAGGGGACGTCATAAAGCCCTTCACCGGATATACTGTATCCAGTGACTGTATTTTGTAGGTGAATGCAGTGACTGCATTTTGCAACCAATTTGCAAATTGTAATGTCTCACAAACAGCCATAAAGTGAATAGCCAATTTCAGCTGAGCGATTGTTGGCCAGGACACCAGGAAAAGCTACCTTTTTTTTTTGAGTAGTGCCATGCAGACAGGACCTCAGTTTAAAGTCTTATTTAGAGGATGGTACGTCAAACAATGCAGCGCTCCCATAACCCCTGAACACTGCATTGGAGTGTTAGCCTAGACTAAGTGGGACTTGAACCCATAACCTTTTTGCCAGAGGCAAGTGCTACCAATCAAGCCAGGCTGACCTAAGCTTGTGAGCCAAAGAATAAGCCAATGAATCCATTTTACGCATTGAGTAAGAATACTGAGGCCCTCAACCTGCTGATTAATTCCACTTCCTTGTGTTAAGTAGTGTTGGGCATCAGTAAATCAGGAACATGTCACTTGATTTTAGAGCACATTTCCTTCCATGCACACCTTCACTCACTCACCATTAGATGCTGTGAAATCTATGGCCACAGTGAAGTTCAGCTGAGTTCTGGAAAAGAATAGAGACCAGATGTATGTGATATGGTTTTCTTACTGACTAGCTGGGTCAGATCAATAAAAATAATCAATCTGATGCATACCCTCCCTTAATGTAATCCACAAACGTGAAATCTGATTCCACTTTGAAAGAAAGAAGGGTCACCTAATGGAAAAGAGAGTGGACAATAAGAGACAAGCCTTAGCGGAGGCAGCACAACACAGTGTGTTATTAGATTTGCTGATCAGAGTTTGGTAGCTGGCAGGGGCAGGTGGGGGAGGGGTATACGTTGGGGGAATGTGGGGTGTTTAAGGCAAGTTACTGAGCATGTGGATGAGGCTGGGAATGGTATGTGGGGCAGTGTGCATGCTGTGGGGGTGCTGGGTGCTGGTTGTGCATCTGTCTATGTGTGGGTGTAGGGTGTGTATTGGGGGTGTTGGGAGGGCTTTGTTTGTGTATTGGGGGCTGGTTATGCCTGTGTGTGTTGGTGGGTGTTCTAGGGGGGTATTGGGGGGATGGTTTTGTGTGCGTGTGTATGTTATGGGGGGCTAGTGTTGGGGTAGGCTGTTGGGGCTGGTTGTGTGCGTATGTATATGTTGAAGGGAATGATGGGGGGGCTGGTTTAGTTTTATAGAGGTTGGGGGTTTTGGTGGAGAAATGCCCCGAGTACTCACGGTGCCAGAGTTGACATACTTCTTCTTTTTCCCTCTTTTCTTCGGATTTAAAACCTAAACAGAGACAGGAAGTGATGAATTGAATTTGCAATACATGTGGCTATCAGCCTTGCTCCATGCATCGCCATATCTGTGAATTCTTTATTTTTTTGCCGAATTCACAAAAAACAAAACTTTGCAGCACAAACTGCCACTTTCACTGTAGTGCAGTGTGGGACCCTGACCACCAGCCCATTACTGCCATCCTGGTAGGCACTGAGCCCATGACCTCTGACTTTTACATACTCAGAGACTGTCCCTGGGTCAGCATTGCCAACAACAACTTGCATTTATAATAATAATAATAAACCTTGCATTTGATATAACAACTTATCAGCCTTAAAGTGCTTCACAGGATTTACTGTTACGTACAGTGACTGGGTATTTTGTGGGCGAAACATAGCAGCCTATTGAGTACATCAGTATCCCACATGGAGTGAGTGACCAATTCTATTTGGGGAATTGTTGCCTAGGACACCGGGAGAGAGAATCTCCCTTTTTTTGAATAGTGCCATTGGAACTTTAATGTCCATCTGAACAGACAGATGGGACTTCGGTTCAACATTTCATCTGAAGGATGGCACCTTCAACAATGTAACATCCCCCCAGCACTGCACTGGAGTGTCAGCTTAGCCTATGTGATTCCAAGTCCCGCATGGTTCTTGAACCCACAACCTTCTAACTCAGAGGTGAGTGTGCTGCCACTGATACTGGGTGCCCCTCACATAGACAAACGCCTTTCAGGGCTGATAATGTCTCGGAAACACAAAATGTAGTGGGCCAGGAGACTGTTCACCCCATGTGCTGCCTCATTGATTCATACAGATTGCCTTGCTGTAAATAGACAGCACTTTAAGCCCATAATCATTCAATTCAGGACTCCTGAGGATTGTGTAAAGCAAGTGGAAGTGCTGGATCCTGAGAATTCAGGCTATACAAGTGGATTGCAGTCTCTCTGGACCTCAAGCACTTTATGAGTTTGTGTAGCGAAACACTGGAGTGGATTAAACAGTGGATTCCTCCAGCTCATGCGTGTGGTGATGGCTTTGTTCTGCGACGGAGACCTCTGACTGTCTGGAGGTGTAACAGCTTTTTGCATTGATGGGAAAAGAGCCAGGGACTGTCGGATTAGGAGAATATCTTACACAGAGTTGTTAGGATATGGAATGCCCTGCTCGGTGTAGTGATTCATATCCAGAAACTAGATCATTATCAACAGTATAATTTACAGGACTATGAGGGGGAGGGTGGGGGAAGGTAAATGGGACAGAATAGATTGCACATAATGAGCTGAATGCCTATCCCCGGTACTGTGCATTTCTATGGATCCATGAGAAAGCCTGACTAAGTCATAAAAGTTAATGAGGCAGTCTGACCAAACAAAGTTAACTAAATGTCAGTGAAACTGTTAGTTTAGTATCTCAGTGTAATCACTGAACCAACAATCCTACATCCACCCAGGATACAATAATCCCAGTAACAAGAATAGCAATCTGTCAGAAGTGAATATATCATATGGACAAGCGAATATAAAGGAGTAAATAATATAATAATGTTTGAATTTGATATAGTGCCTTATCAGGTCGTTGAGACGTCTCAAAGCGCTTCACAGGATATACTGTAAAGTGAATTCACTGCGTATTTTGTGGGTGAAATGGAACTGCCAATTGTACACAGCAGTGTCCCACAAACAGTCATGGAGTGAGTGACCAGTTTTACTTGGGGGGGTTGTTGGGCAGAACACCAGGAGAAACTCCCTTCTCTTTTTGAATAGTGCCATGGGATCTTTAACGTCCACCAGGACAGACAGGCCTCAGTTTAACATCTCATCTAATGGATGGTACCATCTGATAATGCAACACTGTAATGTGATAATGCAAACTGCTGCACTGTACTGGAGCAACAGCTTTATACTATGCGACTTGGGGCTTGAACCCACAACTTTCTGACCCAGAGGCGAGAGTGTAACCTCTGTAACAGGCTGACACACAAACCAACAACAATATCAATTAAACAAGCAATTAAATAAGCAGAGGATGAGGAAATGAATATTCAATGTTTCACTCAAGATCTCTGGTTGAACCAGCTAATTGAGAACTAGGCTCCATCTCGAGAGACTTAGTTGAAAGATGTTCCCCTATAGCTCATATTTCGACAATTTCTATATTCCCTTTAATGAAGCAGCCCAGCATATGATTAAATATTACTGATATATAGTGGTCTTCAATAGGAAGTGTCAAATCTTTCTTGTTTTTCAATATGTCCTGCATATTTGTGTGTCAGCCAGGCTCAGTTAGTAACACTCTCACCTCTATGCCTCAGAAAGTTGAGAGTTCATGTCCCACATCGGAGTTTTGAGCTCACAGTCTCGGCTGACACTTGCTGAGGAACAGTGCACTGTCTGAGGGATTTTAAAGATCCTGTGGCACTATTTGAAAAGAGAACAGGGTGCCTGCCTATGTCCTGAGAAACAAACCTCCAGCTAAAATTAGTCATTCCTTTCATAGCTTTTTGCGGGACGTTACTGAGCACATATTAGCTGCAGCATTCACCTCCAAAACACACAGTCAATGCATTTTAGTAAATCCTGCGAAGTGCTCTGAGACTCTTCCCAATGTAATAGGTGCTATATCAAATGCAAGGATTATATTAATGCACGTTCTATGTGAAGGGCAGGAAGCCTGGATTTATAGGATGTTGGAAGTTAAATTACATTGAGATACACACAAATTAGCCCTAATACAACAACAACAACAACAAGATTCCATTTATTGAGCGCCTTTCACGTCGGGAGGACGTCCCAAGGCGCTGGACAGTTGGGTCAGGACCCGATCAGGGGCGAAATGGTCAGAGTGAGGGGAGGGAAGGGAGGGAGCGAGGAGAGGGTAGAGAGTCGAGAGGGGAGCTGAAGGCACGGTCAAAGAGAAAGGTCTTGAGACCGGCCTTGAAGGAGGAAGGGGAGGAGGCAAGGCAAAGGCACTGGGGGATAGAGTTCCAGAGCCTGGGAGCTGAGAGGCTGAAGGCCCGTCCACCGATGGTAGGGCGGTTGGGGCGTGGTATGTGGAGCAGACCGGAGCCAGAGGAACGGAGGGTACGGGCAGGTAGGTAGGGGGATAGTAGGTCAGAGAGGTAGGAGGGGGCCTTGTAGTTGAGGATGAGGATCTTGAATTCGATCCTCTGGGGGATGGGGAGCCAGTGGAGGCGAGCGAGGGTGGGAGTGATGTGGTCCCGAAGCCTGGTGCGGGACAGTACACGAGCTGCAGAGTTCTGAATGACCTGCAGCTTTAGGAGGGAGGTACCGGGAAGGCCGGCGAGGAGAGAGTTCCCATAGTCCAGCCTTGAGGTGATAAAGGCGTGGACCAGAGTTTCAGCCGCGTGAGGGTGAGGTAGTGCCGTAGTCTTGCGACATTCCGTAGGTGATGGAAGGCGGTGCCAGTTGTGGCGCGGATATGAGGGAGAAAGGACAGCTCAGGGTCGAACAGAACCCCGAGGTTCCTGACTGGCTTTGAGAGGTGGAGAGTGCAGCCTTGGATGCTGATGCTGTCAGCGCCTGAGGTGCGGAGGCGCTGACGTGAGCCAATCAGGAGGGCCTCAGTTTTACGCACATTGAGCTGGAGAAAGTTGTCTCTCGTCCAGGACTCGATGTCGGACAGGCAGCTGTCAGGACATCGGTGGTCGTGGAGTTGAGGGTAGAGGAGGAAAGGTAGAGTTGGGTGTCATCCGCATACATGTGGAAGTTAACCCCATGTCTGCGGATGATATCACCAAGGGGGAGCATATAGAGGGTGAAGAGGAGGGGACCGAGGACAGAGCCCTGAGGGACACCGCACGAGACAGTGCGGGGGCCGGAGGAAAAACCATTCGTGGAGACAAAGTGAAGATGTTGGGAGAGGTACGACCTAAACCACTCAAGGACAGGGCCTTGAAGGTTTAGGTGGGAGGACAAGCGGTGGAGGAGGATAGCATGGTCGACCGTATCGAATGTAATAATCCTTTTTGCTTACTCACCCTACTCATATTCTCCTATTCCCTTTCCACTCATGTCTGCATTAAGTTTCCTCTTAAATACATTGATTTCTTTTGCTTCAACCACAGTTTCTGGCAGTGAGTTCCAAATTCTTACCTCCCTCTGTGTGAAGAAGCTCTTCCTAAACTTTGTTAGATCTGTTACTGGTTATCTTATAGTTATGCCCTCTCGTTATGGACTCACCAACAAGTGGAAACAACCTATTGAAACCTTTCATAATGTTAAACCCCTCAATTAGATCCCCTCTCAATCGCCTGAATACCATAGAGCAAAGCACTGACCTCTGATAGCTGTATCACTCACCCTGGGAACATCCTGATAAATGTATGCCATATTCACTCTAAACTGTGCTTTAGAAGGTAGAAACTCAGTGATTAGTGAGTGTTTAATACATTTCCCTTTGTTCCTATAGTCACTTAGAAATGCTAAATGTTCAGACATGCTATAATGTAAACTGTCTCTCCCAATCTCTCCCCACTGGTCAGAGGGCAATCAGTGTTAGCTCGCTGATGGTGGGCTCAATTACTCCATAAAAAATCAGGTCATTACACAGCTCTGATTTTCGCCCTGACTGCCCACAACACAGAGACAGCGCTTGTCAAAGTCACAAATGATATTCTCTCTATCTGTAACCAGGGCTTCCACTGCCTCCTCGTCCTTCTGTATCTCTCTGCCGCGATCTACACAGCCGACTACGCCATCCTCCTCCATCGGCTCTCCTCCCTCATCTACCTTTGTGGGACCTCACTTTCATGGTTTGAGTCCTATTTAACCAACTGCTTCCATTTCATCTCAGCAAATGGTTTCTCCTCCCGCCCCCGCCCGGTCACCTGTGGGGTACCCCAGGGTGCCGTCCTTGGGCCTCTTCTTTTCCTTATTTATATGCTCCCTCTGGGTGATGTCATCCGCAGACACAGGGTAAACTTCCACATGCATTTGGATGACACATGAATCTACTTTACCTCCTCCAGTATCGACTCCAGGTCCATCAATATTTTATCAGCTTATCTGGCAGACATCAAGGACTGGATGAGTGTAAACTTCCTGCAGCTGAATGCAGACAAGATGGAAGCCATACTCCTTGGCTCCCGTCAATGTCTTCACTCCTGGCATCTAAACTCCTAAACCTCCCTGGGCTCTCCCTCAGACTCATCGAACCAGTGTGCAACCTGGTTCGACCTCCAACTATCCTTCCTCACCCACATCCTGTCCCTGACCAGGATAGCTTTCTTCCAGCTCCGCCATATTGCCTGCCTCCGATCGTACCTTATCCCAAATGCAGCCGAAACCCTCGTGCATGCGTTTGTCACCTCCCGTTTGGATTACTCCAATGCACTTCTTGACGGTCTCCCCAACTCCAACATTCACAAGATCCAGCACATTCAAAACTCTGCTGCCCACATACTTATCCGGACCAAACTCCGTAACCACATCTCACCAGTTCTGGCCAGGCTTCACTGGCTCCCCATCACTGAACGGATCGACTTCAAGATCCTCACTCTCGCGTTCAAATCCATTCACTCCCTGGTACTTCCCTACCTCTCCAACCTCCTCATTCCTCAATCCACCACCCGGTGCCTCAGCTCAACTGACACCAGCCTCCTGCTCATCTCTCGCACCCTCCGCCCCACCATCGGAGGTCGTGCTTTCAGCTTATATGCCCCAAAACTCTGGAACACTCTGCCTCAATCCCTCCGCCTTGTCTCCTCTCTCCCCTCTTTCAAGTCCCCCCTGAAGACTTTCCTGTTCAACTGTGCTTACAGCTACCTCCCACCTCCCACCAGCTTGGTGTCAGGCTCTGCTACTGTTAAGCACTTTGAGGTGCTACCCTCCATGGAAGGCGCTATATAAGTGCAAGTTGTTATTGTTGTAGCTCACCCCTCACATCATCACAACATTCGTCCTCAATCCATCTAATCTCATCCCTCCAGAACACCTCCATTCACAGCATCCAGCTACTTTTTATATATGTCTTTGAGATGTCTCAATGATGTGATAAGGTGCTATATTATGCGACTCTGCCATTGCCTCACCCCTCAGGCTGCCGAAACTCATACATGCCTTCATTAGATCCAGGCTCAACTATGCCAACTCCCACCTTGTCGGCCTTCCCAACTCTTCCCTCCAGAAGCTGCAGATCATCCAGAACTCTGCAGCTCAAGTCCTCTCCCGTACCAGGCTCCATGACCCCATCACATCTCCCGGCTCCACTGGCTCCCCATCCCTCAGATTCTCCAGATTTGGGTAAGCAGGGTGCATCTTTCCCAGGAGAGCTTGTCTACTCTATTGCAGATGCAGTAATTCCCACACAGAACTCTCAATCTGATTGGGATATTCTTAAGCGTGGTGATGGGTTTCTTCATGTGAAAGACTAACATTTGTATGGAAATTTCCCTCCATGTGTAACGGCATATGCAGTCTCTCCCCTGAGGGATGTACCCTGCTTCCTGTAAAGTAATATAATCTTTGCATATCAGGCACAGGTTGGCAAGGGCAAGGCTTGGGGAATCTAGTGGTGTGCATTGGTGTAATTTTGTTTTGGTCAATCGGGTGTCTGACACATGCGGAAACCCATCACCATGCTTAAGAGTATCCAAACCAAACTGAGAACTCCATGCATTTACCTACACATGGAAATTCCAGAGATAGATTGTTGGAATGGAATGCGCACTCTCTCTCTCTCTGGAGGGATGCATCCTGCGTACCTAATTCTGGAAAGTATTAGGCGCAAGTTGGCAGGAGCCAAGGCTTGGGGACCCCAGAGTTTACGTTGGGGGTAACTGCTGGAGTCTAACCAGCTAAAACTGCATAGCTTGCCATTGATATTACTGTCTGGCAAGGGTTCCCACAACTTGTCAAGCTAGGACCACCTTACCTATTAAGGCTTTGGCTTGCAGGGTTAACAGGAACTGAGTGGGATGACTCCCTGCCCCCAGTGACTGGTCTGCATTGAGGTTACTGCTGGAGTCTAACCAGCTAACACCACATAACTTGTTATTGATAGCACTCTCTGGCAAGCTTTCCCGCTGCTTTTCCAGTTAGACCATCCTACCCATTAGGGCTTTTGGCTTGTAGGATTGACAGATGCTGAGTGACTGGCCTGCTGTTCCAAGTCCTGCTAATGAGCCAGGTTGGTTGAGCTGTCAACAGTAGGGCCCTGGAGTACACATATTTAGATAAGCAGTGTGTACACAATCAAACATAAATACTGTAGATAGTGCACACACTTACAGCTCGGACACACATGCACATAAATGGACACATAATGCCTATAACAGATACATTATATAGACACAGTACACGCACACATCAGCCAGTTCTCACCTCGTACACATTAAACTGACTTTGGCCTCTGGAGAGCTCTCTGTAGCTTGTGGTGTACTCCCCGATAAAGTCATGGCTTGAAATGAGAAGCACAAAGAGAGAAAACACACAGAGTTAATCAGAGCATCTCTTCCCCAGGAGGATCAGCACTGAAATGTTACTGTATGGTTTCAGAGGCTGATTGACTTATTGGGCATTTCCACACAGTTGTTTCCTCTCGCAGTCCCTCTCCTCTAGCGACAGATTCCCCTCTGTTTTCCCTCAATTAGGCTGCGGTCCCACAAACGCTGCCCACTGCCTCGCTCCTGATGGAGGCCAGACAGTGAATGTACCACAAGACTACAAGGCCTGTTCGGATGAATCATTTGGCTCATTTCATCTTTCGCAAACTCCATCCTCCAATCATAGAAGCAAACTTAAATTAATCCACAATTGGGTGATTGCTTTGCCCATCACCTGCGTTCCATCCGCAAGTGCATCCCCAGAGCTTCCGGGCGCTTGCCACTTTAAGTTTCCTTCCCACTCCCACTCTGACCTTTCTGCCATGGTCTCCTACCCTGGTCCAATAAATCACATATAAGCTTGTGAAACGGGCTCTACCTCTCAGACATCTTACAGCTCTCTGGCTTCCACATTGATTTTAACCATTTCAGACGATCACCACAGCTCCCATCCTCTCTCAGCCTTGCCTCCCCCTCTTCTATAACATCCTCTGGGCCTCAGACACATCTTTTCTTTTCCTTATCTCCCACTTTTGCTTTATTTTATCTTGCACCATCCCTCCCTTCCAGCGGGTTTGATAATGTGATTTCATCATCTGTTCCCCACCTAATTTATTCCTTTGTTTTTCTTTCCCTGCCCTCTTCTCTGCTTGTACTTATAATCTGCTCCCTTCCAATAACCCCCAGTTCTGATGAAAGGTCATTGACCTGAAACGTTAACTCATTCTCCTCGCTCCATAGATGCTGCCTGACCTGGTGAGTGTTTCCAGCAACCTCTGTTTTTATTTAAGATTTCCAGCATCTGCAGTATTTTGCCTTTTGCTTATTGTTTAATTCACTGCTACTTTTCTTCCAGAAATGCCTACCTTGAAGAAATTCTGCTCTTCTCTTTGATGTTTCTTTCATTTTTCCCTTTTACCCTGTTCACCTTCTTTGCTATGCGTTTCCCTTCTTGTGTTTGTTGATGTGTTCTGCAAAACTCGCTTTCACGGCCGTTTCTGAGTAACTGTCTTCAGGCTCCAATTCATTCCATATAGATTCCGGCTTAAATTCTACCTTTTCTGTTTTGGATCCACCCACGATCACAGATATCTCTATGATATTCAGCGTTACTCTTAACCACTACTCTCATGGCCTCATGAGATCTATCTTCTCCACCATACGGCAAAACATGCATGCTTTCGAACTTTCTCTTCAACAGCACCGACTCACTTTATTTCAGAGCTGTCCTAGGCCTCAATTCCATTTCATCCTGCCCCCTCGTTCGACTCTTAAAGAAAGCGAGGTGGGAAGGAATGTAATTAAGGTAGTTGTGGGAGTTGAGGGCTTGTAATAGATATCCATGGATAGTCTGTGATGAAGATAGAGAAGTTGAGGAAGGGAAGGGCAAAGTAAGAGATGGACCATGTAAGGGAGGGGTGGAAAGTTGGAAGCCAAATTAATGACATTTTCCAGATCAGGGCAAGAGCAACAACCCACAAAGTCATCTATGTACCAGATAAAGAGGTCAGGAAGGGAACCTGAGTAGGATTGGAACAAAGAGTATCCCACAAATAGGCAGTCATAGTTAGGGCCCATGCAGGTACCTTTGATTTGGAGGAATTGAGAAAAGGTAAATGAAAAGCTGAGAACAAGTGGATTGAGATTGGTTGGGCTGCTGTTCCAGGAAGAAGTGGAGTGCCTGCAAGCCATCGGGGTGGGGGATGGAGGTGTAGAAGGACTGACCATTTATTGTAAAAAGGAGATGGTTAGGGCCAAGAAACTGGACTTGGTTAAAGTAGTGGTCAGCTTCAGAAGAGTCGGATGTAGGTGGTTAGGGACTGGAGAAGCAGAGGGGAAAATAGAATCAAAATAAAACAAAATAAGTTTTGTGGTGCAAGTTCCATCCAATCCATGGAGTATCTGTGTTTCCTACTTTAACTTTCTGTCTATAGAACCTTGCATTTATCTGTAATAAACTTTATTTGTCAGTTTTCAACCCATGTATATACCCTGTCAATCATATTGGGGTGAGGTCACCCACTCATGTCCTCCAGCAGGTGGCACTGCATTGCCATCAGGAAAGCAAACCCTGGGCTGTTCCTTTCCTGTCCCCAGACATGGGTCACTGAGCCAGACCTCCCTCAGTGCTGCGGGGGTATGTTTGTTAAAAGGCACTTTGTGTTTAGAGATGAGACAATTTCTTCTTCCTATTTTAGGCACTGACAATCACCGTGTTGGTTCCTGCCACTGGTTCCCACAGTGCAGTTGGAATGTGGAATTCTCTACCATGAATGGTATTGAAACAGAGACCAGCATTTTTTAAAAACAAATCATTGAGAGGACTCGACGACATGATAATGTGCTATATGAAATGCCAGATTATTATTATATGATTGACAGAGTTATTATATGTTGGATGTCCTAGAATGTTCTGTAGAATTAATAATGATCTAATAATAATCCTTACATTTGATACATCGTCTTTCACATCAGGAGGATGTCACAAACGCTTCACAGGATGTACTGTAAAGTGCAGTGACTGTGTTTTGTGGGTAGAAGGCTGGGATTGGCCACCAGGAAGGGTAGTTGAGGACAAGACTTTGGACTTATTTAATAAACAGCTTGGTGCTATAATGGGAAATCCATTGGATTAGTCATTCTGGAGGATCAGATGAAACAGACCAACGAAACCCTCTTGGGATCTTACAGTTTTTAAAAAGAGAGTAATTTGCAAGTTTTTCTCTCAGTTTGCAAAACTTGGGCTGTCAAAACTGGCTGATGGACCGACGGGTGTTTAAGGATCCAATTATTGCCGGTCCCTGAGTTATTTCGCATTTGCATAGCTTTGAAACACTTTCCGCTTAGTTTAGCACAACAGGGAAGCTGGGACACGAGGAACAGAACAGGCCGTCCACAACCTCAATGATTGCTTTGAGCTTTTGCTATCGCTACTGAGCAGCACCTCCCCTCCACAGGGCTGGCTCCACAGAGACAGCATGTTTAATGGGAAGCCAGCCAAAAAGGGAAACTCTGTGTGCAAACACAGAAATTGTAATAATATCCTGAGTTCTGGTGTTTGGGTTTTGGGTGGAATTTAGCACAGCGACATTCTGAAATTCTGATTTCTTACAGTGATTATTTGTAGCCCAGCATACATCTCCCCCTTTGCTTTTCTCGTTTAAGCATCCATATCCCAGAAACCCGCCCAATCCCCTTCCCCACTTTTACTCCTGACCACAAGGCCATGGCAACCCTCTGCTAATAATGTATGTTCACACATCGGCTGCTAATTTCACCTGCACTCAACATGTTAACTCAATGATTAAAGAGATTTACTGCCCTCACCCTATACCACCCTCATCCTATACCACCCCTGGGGAGGAGGTGGGGAGACATGAAGCAGGCTGGTGCTCGCTAAGTGAAGGAAGCGATGGGAAAGTTAGCCATTGACTTCACTGTTGTGACCAGCATTACCTGCCATCTCGATCCCAGTCGTACACGTCCACCTTCACTGTTCTATAGAGGAAACACACACAGCTGGGTGAGTAGCTTACACAATGTCCTTACTGACTGCACAATGTAGAAACAGTACTGAGTTTCTCTCATGTGTCATCAAAATCTACTAACTCCCTCTCTTCCCATCCAACACCATTAGGCAGAGCTCAGTAGATAGAATATGAAACTAGATGGAAATGAGATGCTGTAGGAGTGAGCAGTGGGACAATGGACATCACGGGTGGTTGTTAAATAGTAATAATCCTTACATGTGATACAGTAACTTTCACATCAGGAGGACGTCTCAAAGCGCTTCACAGTATTTACTGTAGAGTGTAGTGATTGTGTTTTTTATGGGTCATACACTATTTGAAAAGAGAAGGGAGTTCCTTGCTCCCAGTGTTCTGGCCAACAATCCTCCAGGTAAATTTGGTTACTCAATTCATGGTTTTACAAAGTAAATCAGGGAATAGTTTGGATGAAACGTTAAACCAAGGTTCCATCTGCTTGTGCAGGTGGACGTTAAAGATCCCATGGCACTATTTGAAAAGAGGAGAGTTTCTCTCTCCTGGTGTCCTGGCCAACAATTCCCCAGATAAAATTAGGGTAAGATGGCTCACTCAATGGCATTTTGTGAGACGTTGGTGTGCACAATTAGCTGCGGGTTTGCCGACAATTACAGAGTCATTGACCTTAACACTCTGAAGCACTTTGAGGATTTTGAATTTATAGACGCTGTACAAATGGAAGGACTGATATTTTCTTGTCCACTGGAAGCCAAAATCTGTTGAGGTCGTGGTCCACTGACCTGTCATAGTCGCCGTTGCATAAGGCTCTCACGGGGATGGTGAAGGGCTGCCACACGGGGTTCAGTGTGTTCTTCACCACCTCGGTTTTATGGCAGATTGTGAACCTGCGAGATTCAGAGAGAGGAGAGAGCAACTAAACCAGACACAGGAATCCATAACTGTTCACAGACCATTTACAATACAGAAAAGCCATTAAGTGTGTTGGGTCTGTGTTTGTACCAGCAATTCCCCATTGGAACTCTCTACTTTAATCCCATTCACCTACCCCTTTTTCCTATTGTGCCTGTGCTGGTGCTTGCTGACCCACTGGAGCTCTCTACTCTAATCCCATCCCTTACTCTCCCCCCCCATCTTTGAAGGTGGCAGAACAGGTAGATAAAGCTGTTAAAAAAGCATACAGGATTCTCGGCTTTATAAATAGGGACATAGAATACAAAAGTCAGGAAGTTGTGATGAACCTTTATAAAACACTAGTTATGTCTCAGCTAGAAACTGTGTTCAGTTCTGGGCACCACACTTTAGGAAAGATGACAAGGCATTGGAGAGGATGCAAAGGAGATTTATCAGGATGGTATCAGGAATGAGGGACTTCAGTTATCAGGAGAGGTTAGTGAAGCTAGGATTATTCTCCTTGGAACAGAGAAGGTTAAGAGGAGACTCAATAGAAATTTTCAAAATTATGAGGGGATTCGATAGGATGAACAAGGAGAATTATTTCCACTGGTGAGTGGGTCGGTAACCCGAGGGCACTGATTTAAAATAGTTGTTAAAAGAAACAGAGGGGAGGTGAGAATTTTTTCACACAGCGAGTTGCTCAGATCTGGATTGCATTGCTTGGAAGGGTAGTGGAAGGCGATTCAATAACAACTTTTAAGATAGAAGTCGATAATTATTTGGAGATGACAAGTTTACAGGGCTATGGGGAGAGAGCGGGGGAGTGGGATTTAATTGGATAGCTCTTTTCAAAGAGTCGGCACCGACACGATGGGCCAAATGGCCTCCTTCTGAGTTGTATAATTCTATGCCTCACTGAAGCTCTCTACTCGAATCTCATTCCGTGCTCTCTCCCCATCGTGTCTGTGCTGGTCCTTTGGAAAAGCAATCCACTTAGTCCTACTTTCCGTTTTTGTCAATGCTATTAAATTGCCCTCTAGTCACTGACTCACTCTAACTCCCCTTTTTTCCTTCTTGTGATAGCCTGGTTTGACTTTCATGTTAAACATTGGGTGACAGTATTGGAAAAGTGAAGAGATTTCCTCCCAATATCCTGGCCAATGCTGATGAATTGATTATTCACTTCATGGCTGGTTATGGAATTCCTACGAGCAGCTGACATATAGTAGTTGTCCATTGAGCAGTCACTAGATTTGACAGTTAAATAATGATGAAGCACATTGAGACATGTTGACATGGGAAAACACTACAAAAACTTATTTCTGTCTCAACAGTAAGTGGAATGAGTTTTCAAGAAAGGTAAATGAAGCCAGGACACTGGGGCTTATTTGAGAAGCAGATAAATAGCAATAATATTTGTATTTGATACAGCTGCCTTATCACATTGTTGAACTGTCTCAAAGTGTTTTACAGGATTTTACTCTGAAGTCTAATGACTGTGTAGTTTGTGGATTGCAGCAGCCAATTTGCTCACAGCAATGTTCCACAGACAGCCATGAAGTACATGACCAATTTTAACTGGGGGATTGCTGGCCAGGACACTGAGAGAGAGAAACTCCCTTCTCTTTTAGAATAGTGTCACAGAATTGTTGACTTCCATCTGAACAGGCAGAATTGTTTAACACATCTCCAACAATGCAGCACACACCCAGCACTGCATTGGACTGTAAGTTCAAAGTCCAAAGATGGGACTTGAACCTTCTGATTCAGAAACGAGAGCGCCACTAACTAAGCCAAGCTGACATCCGGTTTATTATACTTGGAGCCACAAGAAAGTAGATGAAAACTGTTCCTCCACAGATTCCCAATGCAGTTAAATACTCACGTTCCATCCTCATTGCTCCGGTAAAAGACTAAGAAAGGATCCGATTTCCCAAAGAAATCCTTTTTGTCCAGCTTGTTCGCACAGAGCTGCATTGTTGCAATATCCTATAAAGCACAGACATTCTTATCAGAACAACTCCTCGCTTAATATAAAGGGCCTGTATTCTGGAGCAACACCATCCAAACATGAATAAGCTTTCCCACGTATCCCCATTCCTGCTGGCTCTCCGTGTTTTAGTGGGGATTCGAGTGCTGGCTAGTTGCCAGCCTGGATCCACCGTCAGCTCTCTTAATCAGGTTGTGGATTTAAGCCTCAAATCAGGAATTTGAATGCATACAATCTAGGTTGACTCTCCAATGCAGTGAAGTGCTTGGAGGAGTTCTGCATTGTGAGAGATGACATCCTTTACATGATGCATTAAATTGAGGGCTCAAATACCTGTTCAGGTGGATGTTAAAGATCCCATGGCGCTCTTCGAAAAGAGAATTGTGTTTCCTGAAAAGGCCAACCCCCAGATAAAATTCACTCCATGGCTGTTTGTGAGCCACTGCTATGCGCAAATTGGCTGCTTCATTCACCCACAAAATACTTTACAGTATATCCTGTGAAGTCCATTGAGATGTGCTGCCATTGTGATAAAGCGCTATGTCAAATGCAAGGATTATTATTAATATTTATTTGGGTGCTGCTTGTGCTGCTCATTAGTTAATGGATATTTGAATGTCTAGGTAAGTGATCCATTCAGGGGTCCCAACATCACTCACACTCGGGCTGTCCAGTGCTCTGGTCAGGCTGCACCTAGAGTACTGCAGACAGTTCCGATCTCCATGACACAAGGTAAAAGTCCAGGACCCAAAGGTGGTGCAGAGGAGAGTGACAAGGAATAAACTATGAGGACTGACTGGACGAGCTAGGGCTCTTCAGTATTGAAAGGAGGCATCAATACTTTCAGTTGCATCGAGATAGTAGAACAAGATGACAAAGCTGTAAAGAGCAATTTCACGACAAACATCAGGAAGTTTTTTTTCCCTAGAAGTTAATTAACAACTGGAACAGGTTAGCTTGATGCTGTGATGTAGGTAACAATATTTAGGATGGGCTAAAGGGGCTTCTTCCTCTGAATCAATCTTATGATCTTTTGAATGATATATACCCAGTCAGGCTTGGCAGGTGTTCAGTGATGATTCACTGGACTAATACCTGAGTTGAAGAGGTTTAGCTGTGTTGAGAGGCTGGGGTTGTCATTGTTAGAGCAGAAGTGAATAGTTTGCTCTGAGTGTAGGTATAGCCTCAATTGTTAAATGGCCTCCTCTATGCCGTAAATTTCTATGATTATAGAGGAGTGATTTAATTGAGGTATTTAAAATAATGAAAGGAACTGATTGACAGGTTGGATAGTGGATGGTTTTACACCTCATAGGGAGGTTCATTTTACAAGGGAGCAGAGCCTTAAAGTCTGAACCAATACAGTTAAACTGAGGTCAGGAAGCATTTCCTCACATAAAGCATTGTGAAGATGTGGAAATCTCTGCTCAATAAAGCTGAAGAGACAGAATCAATAGAGATGATTGAAAGAGATGGACAGAGATTTGGGTAGTTGAGGTATGAGGAAATGTGGTGAAAGCGCAGGGCATTGGGACTTATAAAACTTCCAAGATCTAATTAACTGGTGGAAGGGGCTTGATGGGCTGAATGACCTCCTCTGATTCCTATTTTCCTCTCAATCACTAAGGTACCTCCACTGCTGACCTAACTGAGATCAGCTCATTCAGCACACACCAGACATCAATATCTCTGTGATCTGTGTGGCTCAGCACTGTGCTCGGCACATGGTCAGACTCTGGGAGGAGTTTGATTTTAAAGTAGATCACATTAAAGTTTAACATCATACTGAGATGGCAACTCTTCTGAGTAGTGGAATCTAAGGATAAATCTATTAACAGGTCTTGTCAAAGCCCAAGGCTCTGGGACAAGAGTCAGAAATAGAATCCTAGTAAGGAGTTCTGATTGACACTGTCTGTCTGCAGATGAGGTACATGTACAGCGAATGTTTGAGGGGAGACAGGGAGAAGGAGAGGAGGGAGGGTAGGATAGGAAGGAGAGATGGATGAATGTGGTCAGACAGATGGATGAATGGACGGATGGGTAAATGGATGGATTGGATGGATGTATCGATGGGTAGTTCACCTATAAATACACGGTCACTACACTTCAACAAAAATCCCGTGAAGCGCTTTGAGATGTTTTAATAAGGCACTAATCCAAATGCAAGGATTTATCATGGTAGAAACATGCTTCCTCTATGTTATCAATCGCCCACGTTCCGTGAAAGTATGAAAAGGAAACAAGTTCCATATAAGGCCAGTTTGTTCCCCTTCCATCTGATCTCTGAATAACTGAACCAAAGAGAGCGTTAAAGTATTTCTGTGCATTTCTGATAGTGGAAATGTATCTGTTATTTCAACTGTGCCTGCTTTCATTTTCACTCTCTGCACACATCCTCTTTTCAATTGAATAAAAGATTGATTCGTGTATGAACCTCTCCTTAACCTTGGGAATAGCGCTTCAACATCAGAGACCTTCATAGCGTGTGCTTGACGTCATCCACAGTCTTTAAGAGTTAGTTGTTCACATCCTCAATCAACATTGAGCACCCACAGGTCAGAGGAGCGAGAAAGAGCACTTCACAGGATAAGCAGCTTGATGCAGTTCTGTCTGCAGATGAGGCTTGCAGCATCTCTCCATTAACTGCTGAAGGGATTATATGCTGAGGCTTTAAAAAATTCACAATCAAATGTGTTTGCCAAGCACCATTCACTGTACAAACTGTCCACAAAGTCCTGTTGCCCATATGTTTTTTTCTACCGTGAACTGAAACGTGGAAGAACGATGATAATTGTATTTAGAAGTAATTGTATTCAGTACAAGTATTTTACTGTATTTAGGCATCCAGAAGATCAGTGTGTGTGAGCGCCATCATTTTCATGGCAGATAATGACTTGTTGCTATGTTTGGGTGCGACATCTTCCATAACATGGATGAAGTGATGAGGCGAAACTCATCTCTGACATTTGTTTCAGCTCCTCTGTAGTCTCATATCGCTGTTTTGTAACAAGTGCCAACAGGAATTTGTGGACATCTTGTAGTTACATTTTGTACGATGGTGGGGTGGGGGGAGCTCTTGCCCTTCTTGATCTGCCAATCAGTGAGTTGAAGTATTGATGGCAAATGGATTGCAGCAACAAAACTTTGTGGCATCCCGTCTCACCCCCTAAACCAGGCCTTTCCATTCATCACAATGTCCTGCTATCACCTTTACATTGTAAATCCAGGTTTCAGTCCAATCAGTTAATTTGTCACAAATTCCTTGAACTTTACAGAAACAGGAGAAGAGCATTCAATCCATTGAGCCTCTTCCACCTGATGATTAGATCACAATTAGAACTTCAATTGTGACGTATCTATTTAACACTTACATGTCCCATTTTTGTATCAGCTGTCACATCTTCAGTTTAGCTCTTAAAAGGGCATTGGTGTTTCACATCCCATTGATTTCCATCATCACTCATAAATGTCCTTGTCCAGCATTCCTCAAACCACAGGTCAGACCAGGGGCAGAGAGGCGGTCGGACCAGGGGCAGAGAAGAGGTCAGACCAGGGACAGAGAGGAGGTCGGACCAGGGGCAGGGAGGCCAGACCAGGGGCAGGGAGGCCAGACCAGGGGCAGAGAGGCCAGACCAGGGGCAGAGAGGTGTACGTAAGCGGAGAGAAAATTAGAAAAATAATTGGATCCACTTTAGAAACAAAATGTGGGGATCCACCTTTCTGTGAAGGAAAGAGGGAATGAAGGAAGGAGAAAGGAAGGAATTGTATTCTTGTAGCACCTTATCACGGCGAAGTGTTTTAGAGGACCTTAGAGTAATTATTTCCAAATGTGTTAATCTTCCCACAAGCAGCCAGGAAGTGAAACTGGTCAATGACCTATTTTATCAGGTGGAGCTCTCTCCTATTGCCTCTTATTAGTTCTGAAGAATCTTTGTTTCCTTCTCTTACAAATATTTCTATTTGGCCCTTCAGTTAGCTTTGACCGAGTCTGGCTATTGGATTTATATTCCCATCCTGGACTCCCTCTGACTCACTGCTTCACCTCATTCAAGGTCCATCTTAAGACCGAGCTCTTTGAGAGCGCTTTCAGCCATCGTTCCCCTCCCCACCCTCCTCGACTAACCCCATCCCTCAGCTCAGGTGCCAAGTCAGGATTGTTAAGCCTTTTAGGACGTCCTCCTGACGTGAAAGGCGCCAAATAATATAGTCTGTCCTTGGCTGTATATTGTTCTACCTCCTTTCCAGCCTTTTAATCTATTTATTGTTGATTTAGAACATCCACTGAGGTTGGGGTTAAAACATAGGCATTATGCAAGATATTCATCTCACTGCTGGGACTTGTGACTTTGATAAATGTGAGATAATAATAATAATCCTTGCATTTGATATAGGCTTTTCACGTCTTCTCAACGTCTCAAAGCGCTTCACAGAATAGACTGTAAAGTGAATTGACCGTATATTTGTGGGCGAAATGTAAGGTTTTAATACCTTGGTTTATGTCGATTCCAAGCTGAATTCTGAATTTAATTAAGAAATGCAGTTTTAATAAAATGCTTACTTTTCTGAGTAAAGAATTATACGACATTTATGGATTAAAAAAGTGTGATTTTAGAAGACTGAATTATTTTGGAATCCATAACCTTTTCACTCAGAGATGACTCAGAGGTGTCAGTGCTACCACTGAGCCAGACTGACACATGGTTGTACTCCAACTGAGGTCCAGCCAAGTCTACTCCAACAATAACTAAATTTTCTTTGGAGACATACATTTTTACAAAATGTCTGCAGTGATAAATGAAAAAGTAACTACTGAGGGAGACACAGGACGGCAGATCACAGACCATGCAGGAACAGAGAGTAATGTTTCACGCACTGACCCGACAGTTGCTGAGCTCTTCGGCAGACAAGATAAGCGTCCCACATTTCTTGCCAGGGACGCCGCTGGGGAGACAGAGAAAAGAACGCATTTGTCAGGTGGAGACAAGGTACATTTAGTTATAGAGACCCAGAGAGTGAACAGGAATCAGGCCAGGAGCCTTACACACACAAACACACAAACGAATAGAAAGAGACTTTTAGCTTCAGATGTCTGTGGATCAGTTTTGCACCTTGTTAAAAATATGACAAGACATGACTACCTGAGCTAATTAGAACCAAGAATAGCGTGATTTATACGTCTTATACACCACAGTGACAGGCTTTGGAGATGTCCCACTCTGTCTCAATTTAATAAAAGATACACAGTTAACATGTGTATCAGCCATTACAAATACTATTATCAAATAAATAGCACAGTAGAGTGCACAGTACTCAGAGGAGTCTGGTGCTTACTCTGGTGAATACAGACTTTAAGCCATATATAATAATTCAAATTTAAAATCATCCAACAGCAGCATTTTTACTTGCATTTATATATCGCCCTTCATGCGGGGTAGTGTCCTGGAGCAGTTAAAGAGGTACATAGGAATATAGGAACAGGTAGAGGCCATTCAGCCCTTCGAGCCTTTTCTGCCATTTAATTAGATCATGGCTTCCTCAATTAATGCTTTCAATTCCAATTTCAAGAGTTAAGAGATAAGCGGGGTACCCTCTGGGCTGAACTGGCTCCAAGGTGACATGTTTGGCAACAAAATGTTGAAATCATGCCAGCCCTCTATGGCGGTTTGAGTCATCCGATTCCTCAGCAAGTTGGGTCCGCTGTACTCCAGCGCACTGTTGACAGCACAGCTAGTCTGGCTCATTGGTAGGACCTGGTAGGGCAGACTAGTTACTGGTGGCAGGACATCCTCCCACTCAGCTCCTGTTAACCCTGCTAGCCAAAGCCTTAATGGGTAGGGTGGTCTTTGGTGGACAAGCAGTGGAAAAGCTTGCCAGTCAGCTCTATCAATGGCAAGCTATGTGGTTTTAGCTGTTACCCCACTGTACACTCTAGCATCCCCAAACCTTGGTACTTACCCACCTCCTTACATCCAGAATTAGGTAAGCAGGATGCATCCCTCCAGAGAGAGTCTGGGTCTGTGTATGTGTGTCTGTGAGATTGTGTGTGTGTCTGTGAGTTTGATTGTGTGTGTGTCTGTGTGGGTGAGTGTATGTGTCTTTATGTGTCTGTATCTGTGTGTCTCTCTGTGTGTGTGTGAGTGGGTGTGTGTGTATGTATGTGTCTGCATGAGTGTGTATGCGTGAATGTGTGAGTGTGTGTGCGTGAGTATGTGTGTGTGAGTGTGTATGCGTGAGTGTGTGCGTGAGTGTGTGTGCTATCGCCTCTGAGTCAGAAGGTTTTGGGTTTGAGCTCCCCCTTCCCCCACTCATATACACACATGTCGAGGACTCGTAACCCGTATAGTCTAAGTTGGGTGAGACTGGGTGAGACAGAGACAGAGAGCATTGGGTGAGACAGAGACAGAGAGAGAGAGAGAGAGAGAGAGTGAAAGCACCACATTGTTGGAGACGCTGTCCTTTGGTTGAAACGTTAAACCTTACTCACTCTCCGTCCATGAACTGTTCAGGACGGACGTTAAAGATCTCCTGCGGCGCTGTCAAGGGTGGTTGGGGGAAATAAGAAGGGAGTTTCTCTCTCCCAGTGTCCTGGTCGACAGATAAAAGCGCTTGCTCACTTCATGGCTGTTTGCAGAGATGTCGCTGTATGCAAATTGGCTGCTGGGTTTCACCCACAAAACACAGTCACTGCACTTAACAGTAGAACCTGGGAGTGACTCCCTGTCAGGGCGAAATGTTGGGCAAGTTTCCTTACTCCACATATGCCTTTATTTATCTAGTAGTAAGTAGGAACCCAGTTGTTAGTTGATTGGCGGATCGCTTTTCCGGGGGTAATAATCCCTTCAAAATAAAAAATAATAATTTTCTAACACTCAGCCATTTCTAGGAAATAAACACCCAAATCTCAATCCTACTCCAAGCTCTTCATTCTTATTCAGTAAAGATATTCCATGAAGCAGTTGGAACTAAAGGTTGTCGGTGCTCAAAGTAGATAAGTCACCTGGTCTGGACGGAATGTATCCTAGGTTACTGAGGGAACTAAGCGTGGAAATAACGGAGGCTCTGGCCACAATCTTTCAATCCTCCTTGGACACCGGAGTAGTGCCAGAGGACTGGAGGGTTGTAAATGTTATTCCCCTGTACAAAAAGAGGCAGAAGGATAAACCCAGAAACTACAGGCCAGTCAGCCTAATGTCAGTCGCGGAGAAACTTCTAGAGACTATAATCCGAGACAAAATAAATTTTCACTTAGAAAAATGTAGGTTAATAAAGCCGGATTTGTTAAAGGCAAATCATGTGTAACAAACCTGACAGAGTTTTTTGATGAAGTAATGGAGAAGGTGGATGAAGGTAGTGCAGTTGATGTAGTTTGTATGAATTTTCAAAAAGCATTTGATAAAGTGCCACATAAGAGACTTGTAAGCAAAATAGAAGCCCACAGTATTAAAGGGACAGTGGCAGCGGATACAGAATTGGCTGGGAGACAGGAGCAAAGATTGTTCAGATCTGGAATGCATTGCTTGAAAGGGTGGTGGAAGCTAATTTGATAACAACTTCTAAGAGAGAAATAGATAATTATTTTGGGAGGACAGGTTTCCAGGGTTATGGGGAGAGCGCGGGGAAGTGGGATTGATTTGGAAGCTTTTTTCAAAGAACAGGCACAGACACGATGGGCCGAATGGCCTCCTTCTGTGCTGTATAATTCTAAGAAGCAGGCTTTACTGATCTGGTGTCAGACTGGGGCAGTGGTAGCATGCTTGCTATCCCTTGGTTCACCATGTAGTTGCTCTGTATTTATAATAATAATAATCGTTCTTGTATTTGATACAGCGCCTTATTATTGAGACATCTCAAGGTATATTACAGAATATAATGTAAAGTGAATTTACTGTAAATTGTCAGTGAAATGAGGCAGCCAATTGGGCACAGTATTGTCCCACAAACATTTGTGGACTAAGTGACCAAATTTTTTTTTGAAGGGATGAAGGGATTATTACTATTATTATCCCCAGAAAGCGATCCGCTAATCGATTAACAACCAAGTTGTTGCTTACTGCTAGATAAACAGAGGCATGTGGAGTAAGGATGCTATCGACCACGCTATCCTCCTCCACCGCCTCTCCTCTAACCTCAACTTTCATGGTCCTGTCCTTGACTGGTTCAGATCCTACCTTTCCCATCATCTCTACTTTGTCTCCACAAACAGATTCTCCTCCAGTCACCGCACCATTTTGTGTGCCCTTCCTCAGGGCTTGTCCTTGGTTCTCTCCTCTTCAACATCTATATGCTCCCTCTTGGTGACATCATCCACAGACATGGGGTCAACTTCCATATGTATGCGGATGACATGTGGTCAACTTCCACATAGACCCAACTCTATTTCTTTGCTTCCACCCTCAACTCCAGGACACCTGCTGTCCTGAGGTCTTCCTGATTGGCTCCCGTCAACACCTCTACACTTCAGGCACTGGCAGCATCACCAGCAAGGATGCACACTCCATCTCACCAAGCCAGTCCAGAACCTTGGCATCTTGTTTGATACTCAGTTGTCCTTTCTACCCCATATTCATGCCATAACCAGCTCTGCCTTCCTCCCACCTCTGCAACATCGCCCGGCTCCACCTCTGCTTCACCCATCACGCCTCCGAAATCCTCATCCATGCATTTATTACATCTAGGCTCAACTACGCCAACTCCCTGTTTGTCGGCCTTCCCAATTCTTCCCTCTACAAGCTGCAGATCATCCAGAACTCTGCAGCTTGTGTTCTCTCCCACACCAGGCTTCATGACCCTATCACCCCCACCCGCGCCTGGCTCCCCTGGCTCCTCATCCCTCAGAGGATGGAGTTCAAAATCCTTGTCCTCACCTCCAAGGCCCTCCATGACCTTGCCCCCTCCTACCTCTGTGACCTGCTAACCCCATATTAACCTGTCCGCTTCCTACTCTCAGCAGACTCCGGCCTGCTCCTCGTCCAATGCCCAGCCCGCCCCATTGTCAGACATGCTTTCACCCTCTTCCCCCTTTGGATCTCATCCCACAGTCACTTCACCTTGCTCCCTCCTTTGATAATTCAACAACAACAGCAGCAACAACTTGCATTTATATAGCACCCTTCACGCGGGATAGTATCCTGGAGTGCTTGTCAGTAGCCAAGTTCGACAACGAGCCAGGGAGAGGGAGGGGGAGGTGACCGTAAGCACGATCAAAAAGGAAGGTCCTTAGGTGCAATTTGAAAATTCAGAGAAAAGAGGCAAGGCTGAGGGATTGAGGGAGAGAGTTCCAGAATTTCAGTGCGTGGTGGCAGAAGGTATAGCCACCGATGGTGGAGTGGAGGGGACATGGGACAAACAGGAGCAGAGGCAGCAGATGGTAGAGCGGGGGTAAGCAGATGGAGTTGGAAAAAAAAGGTCCTGTTCAAGGAACGGATGTGGATAGAAAGGAAACCTGGGGATCGAACCTGAAGCCTATGTTGCGCATGGGTTTGGTGAGTCTGAGGGAGAGCCCGAGGAGGTTGAAGAGTTCAGAACCGCAGGAGTGAAGATGTTGACGGGAGCCAACGAATATGGCTTCCATCTTGCCAACGTTCAGCTGCAGGAATTTGCGCTCATCCAGACCTTGATGTCCGTCAAACAAGTTGACAGGACATCAGCAACTGGTGTTCCAGCTGGAGGACAAGTAGAATTGGGTGTCATCTACATAAATGTGGAGATGTTTGTGGATGACATAGCCGAGAGGGAGCATGTAGTTCAGGAAAATAAGGGGGCCAAGAATGGAGCCTTGGGTTCCTGGGGTGACCAGGTGGGGCCAGGAGGAAAAACCATTCACCAAGATGTATTGTTGGTGTTTGGTTAAGTAGGACTCAAACCAAGTGCGGTCCCATTAAGGTGGTTGAGGGAGGAGAGGCGGTGTAGGTGGATGGCGTGATTGACTGTGTCAAATGTGG